GTCTAATTAGATTTTCTTTTATTAAAAAATTTATAATAATAAATAGATAAATAGGTTAATTTAAATTTTATTATGTAAATTTTAGTGTTTTAAATATTTTTTTATATAAATAAATAAATACTTAAATACTCAAACTCTTTGCACATCTAATAATAATATAGATAAAAACTCTTTTTTTTATATTAATAATACTAGTCTAATTAGATCTCCTTTATTAAAAAACTCATAATAAATAGATAAATAAGTAATTAGTGTTAGAGTTTTATATAAACTCTTTAAATATATCATTGTCTAGTGTGATAGAGATTTATTGAAAATAAAATAGGTAATTTGTGATACGATTTTATAGAAATTATTTTATTTTCTTTAAATATATCCTTGTCTAATTTGATTTAATTTTATTAAGAAACTCATACTAAAAGCTAATTTGTGGTTGAGTTTTAGAAAAAATATTTTGTTTTATATATCAATTAATAAATATTTTTATATTAATAATTCTTGTCTAATTAGATTTTATATTATGATAATTATCCATAAAAAATAACTATTCTTTTTATATTGAACTAAAAATTCAAGTTTTATATAGAATGTGATTGATTTTATCAGGTAATTTTTAGAGTATTATAGAAACTATTTTTACAAAAACTATTTTTATATCAATTAATAATTTTTTTATATATAAATAAATAAATACTGAAATACAAAAACACTTTGCATGATTTTATTAAGTAATTTTCAATTAATAAATATTTTTTTTTTAATAATTGTTGTCTAATTAGATTTACTTTTATTATAAAAAAAAAAAACTCATAATAAATAGATAAATAGGTAATTTGAACTTAAATACTGAAACTCTTTGCACATCTAATAATATTATTATATCAATTAATAAATATTTTTTTATATAAATAAATAAATACTGAAACTCTTTGACAGAATTTTTGTATTTTACTCTGGAATTCTAGATTTCTAGAATTCTCAATTTCTATACCACTTCCTCCTTCTTCCATGCCTCTATTTATAGGCTTCTTGGATTAATAGGATGATGACATGTGTCCTTTTCTGATAATTATATAATCATAACTAGGCCGGTCCGGTTATATTGTGATAATTATCCATAAAAAATAATTATTCTTTTTATACTGAACTAAAAATTAGAGTTTTATATTGAATGTGCTTGATTTTATTAATTAATTTTTAGAGTTTTATGGAAACTATTTTTATATCAATTAATAATTTTTTTATATAAATAAATAAATAAATACTGAAACACTTTGCATGATTTTATTAGGTAATTTTCAATTAATAAATATTTTTGATTTTAATAATTCTTGTCTAATTAAATTTAATTTTATTAAAAAAAACTAATAATAAATAGATAAATAGGTAATTTGTGTTAGAGTTTTATAGAAACTCTTTAAATATATCTTTGTCTGGTGTGATATAGTTTTATTGAAAATAAAATAGGTAATTTGTGATAGAAAATTATAAAAATTATTTTATTTCTTTAAATATATCATTGTCTAATTAAATTTAATTTTACTAAGAAATCATAATAAAAGGTAATTTATGGTAGAGTTTTAAAAAAATTATTTTTTTTATATCAATTAATAAATATTTTTATATTAATAATTCTTCTCTAATTAGATTTTCTTTTATTAAAAAATTTATAATAATAAATAGATAAATAGGTTAATTTATGGACCATTTGGTCAAGCACACAATTGATTATAGATTGAATTTTAATTTTATTAGGCAATTTTGAGTTTTATAGAATTTATATCGTGGGATATAATAATTAATGAGAGCTCTGTGAATTAAACTCTTTTTATATTTTGTTAATTTGAATTTTATTAGGTAATTTTGAGTTTTATAGAATTTATATCAATTAATAAATAAATACTGAAACTCTTTGTACAAAGGCCAAGAAAGTAGTACTACACTTGATATTAGCCAAAAGACCAAAAAAAGTTAGCCAAAAGGCCGACCAAAAAAAAATTAGTACTACACTTGATCTTAGCCAAAAGGTCGAGAAGGTGTGATTATTATTTCTTTAATTCTATAATTTTATAAGAGACTTTCGTGTAATCATTTTTACTTAAAACCAATGTGAAACTTTGTAATTTGAATTAATTTTTTTTTTTTCATATTTTATTATTTTGAATTAATTTTAATTTTATTAAGTAATTTTGAGTGTTATAAAATTTATATTAATTAATAAATAAATAATGAAATACTGAAACACTTTGCACATTTAAGTAACTTAGGTAAGATTCATCTTTCAACCGTGTCAAAATAATCAGGATTCACAAATATCTATCATTGCCATTAGAAGTGTATCTATCTTAAGATATCATCATAAATGTGCCAGCAACCATTCCATTTCAATAGCATCATAAAAGTTATTCTTTAGCAGGCAACAATTAATACACCATGGTGACCTTTGAGCATAAAACCATGAACCCACTAATACAAATATATTAAAATTATATATATATATATATATATATATATATATATATATCTGAATCACTCATCCTAAGTAACAGTTTGTGCTCCAACTTACCGCTTAATTCAGGATCCAAACTGGGGCATTTAAAGCAAACACATGATGAATTTCACTCAGGCAACCCCTATTCTCTTTTATCCATCCATCCATCTCTCAAACACACTTCGGTGATGAATTTCCCGTAGCTAATGCATTCTTTCTGAGTTCAATCAAGTAACATAAACCACCTCAGATTTAGGACATCAAAGGGATTGATGGACGATCTGTCTCCTCATCGGAGACACAATCTAAGAATTCACTTGACCAGGGGATTAAACTCATGCACCATTTAGATAAGAGATGCACCAGAAATGTTCTGGCATCATCGGGTACAGTGACGGTACCTCTCTCTTGTCCAATATGACCCTTTGGTCTTTAGATTGTGACAGTTATATTATTGGTTTCTTCTACCGTATATTATTCTGTTTTTATCATGCAGATTTTATGCTTTTTGCTTCTAAGCATTTCTTCACCAATAGAACCATCTCACCAGCAAACAAACTGCTATGTGGAATATCTTCTTTGATATCTCTCATTATTTTATCTGAAACTACCATATATCAATATAAATTTAGCACTAAACCGATGTAGTCTTACTTGTATATACAACTAACTTGTCTCTCCACGAACTCCAATCCTTGGTTCACTATACATATCATTAATAAGACTCGTAAGTTTTTAAAAAGATTGTTTTCTTTATAAAGCCCAGAATATTACATTACTAAATACACCATCATATGCCTTCTCTAAGTCTCTAAGAACCATGTATGGATAGATCATTTTGTTTACACTCTTCTTTTAATTGTCTGTCTTACTAGGTAGATGGCCGCCACAGTCGATCTACTTGACATAAATGCAAACTAATTATCTTTAGTTTCTTTTCTTAATTTTTGTTCAATTATCATTTTTCATGAGTTCATTGCATGATTCATAAATTTAATTCCTATATAATTTCCACAATTTTGTATATCTCCGTTATTTTTATAAATTGGTACTATGGTACTACTCCACTCACTGGGCATTGTTTCTTCTCCAAAAATTTTGTTAACTAACTTTGTTAACCATTCAATTATACTTCCTAGAATTTTCCATACCTCTAGAAGTGCGTTATTAGGTTCTACTGCTTTATTGTTAAGTACCCTTGTTAAGTGTCTTATTCATGCCACTCTTGATCGTATTAAATGCTCCTCTTTTTTAAAAACTATATTTGCTATCACTAGATCGTAAGCTTTTGCAAATTCTAAGAGTCTCCCCTTCTTCTGTACTTTCTCCAAAACCATATCCTCCATGAATATTTGTATACCCTATTCATTGACTCCTACATGACCACTAAAATCACCTCCTACAGATATACTTTCATGGCTAGGTATATTGTGCCCGTGCTTTATGTCATCTATGATCTGTTTGGTAGGAATGAAGGAAGATGGGTGGATGGAAGATAGGAATGAGGAAACATATTTCCCTTGTTTGGTAGAGAGGAGACAAAGAGAGAAGAGGATGGATGAGTCGTCCTTCTTCCTCTACAAATTTTCATCCCTCCAAATATGGAGGGAAGACACAAAAGGGAGAAAGACAAGGCTATTATAAATGCTTTTAAATTACAAAACTGTCCTTATAATTAGCGCTTTATCTTTTCTTCTCTCCTAACAAACAAAATAAGGTATTGTCTTATTATCTTCTCTTCTATCTAACCAAACAAAAAGAAGGAAGGGCACGATCTCTTCCCTAGAAATGTTTCATTTATCTCTTTTTCTCTCCCTTCCATCCAACCAAACGGAGCACTAGTGACTCCCCAAAATATTCGTTTTGTGCTTTCATCTAATACTAATTGTGAAGTGTAGCCACTTATGATGTTTAGCACCGTCTTGTAACTTCTACATCTTTATTTTTCATATGTAACTGTTTACCACTATATCCACCCCATTTCTATGATTATCTTTACCACCTGAGTAAAGAAGTTTGTATCCTCCTCCAATCTCTCTAAACTTTTCTCCTTTCTATTTAGTTTGTTGTAGACAAACTATATTGATTTTCCTCTTGTTTAATGTGCTCATAATAAGCTCTAGTGTATGTTCTATGTTACTAGTCTAATTTTCATATCTTATTATTTTCAGTTTATGTAAATTCACCATAAAGATTTTACATAATTTTGTAGCTGGATGTCTACCGGACACCATCTCAACTTTACAGTCAGAAAATCAAATACTTACTTTATGATTTATTTCTCCTTTGCTCTTGACCTAACAATTAGTATAACTAAGCCTACATACAAATAGATACCTACCAATACACCCGAACTAACTTATAAGAAAGCAACAATTAAACTACAAGTCAAATATTGTTTACTAATTTTTATAGTATGCAATGTACTTGGAAAAAGTAATATATGCTCTAACAATAGCTAAGAAACAGTTGTTAATAAAAATTCAGCAAGCAAATAAAGCTAAGAAAATACCAAAATTAATTATATTTATGACATTAAATTCAAATACTCACTACATATTAATGCAAAAAGGAAGTGTGCAAAAAACCATACTGTTATATCTCTTTGGTTTAAAACCAGATATTATGCAACCCAGGTTTAAAACCAGATATTATGCAACCCAATAAAAGACAAAAATAAAAGTCTTCAATAAGAACAAAAACTTTTGGTTGTCCAAAAAAGATGGGAAAAGAAGCACAGCATGAAAAACATCACTCCCTACTTCATTTCCTACCATGGATCCTACTGGCCTGCCTGTTCCTCTTCTTGACACCGGACTTGGTAACCTTAAGGCTCCTGTTCACCACGCTCAACCTTGCAAGGGCTGCCTTCTTCAGATCTGGCCTGTAATAATTATCTGCCACCTGCAATAAATAAAAATAGCAAAGTGATGTTGACTATAGTTTTTCTCCCCCATGACATATTTCAAGGAAAAATAAAATGAGTAAAGCGCATAAAAAATGACAATATCAGAGCACTATATTGAAAGACAAAAATCAAATAAGCAACTGAAGGATAAGTAAATTAAAATAAACAATAAAACAACACAAAGTACTCCTATGGGAAAGCAAAAATATCTGAAGGACAAAATATAAACGAATGGCATCGGAAAAATATTAAAACATACAAGGATAGCAAGTCACCTTTCTAGGAATAGATATGCAATAGAACGACAATCTAAACTAAGCTAAACTATATCATACTACTATAAATTTAAACTATTACCACCAAGCAATAGACAAGATGTATACTAAAGCACTGATATGAGAATTACTCAGAAGAAAGAGTTGACAAGTCACTTTCAATGAAGAACGCATGAAATGGAGTTCTTCCAATAAGTTAACTGCTTACTATTGCTGAAAAACTCTGATTTAGTGTCAAAAGACATGTGAAATTAAGCTGAAAGAATGCTGCAGTCAACTCTACTTTTTAACAAATCCTTACCAAGTGCCAGTTTCCAGCAAAATATCCATACATGTGGATTGGGCAGCACTTGTATATTATTGAAGATATTCAGTCAGCTGGACTGCATCAGTATGACGTTCCACCATAATGTGTCCAGAACAGGATTCAAAATCTATTGAATCTAATAACTTCTTTAAATGTGAGGTAACAGGATGAATAGGATAAAACCATAGCAGCAGCTACTCCCCTATCTTAATGGAAATTCTTTTCTTAAACTGAAGAATAACTTAATAGTCCATTAATGCTTCAATATTTCGGACACCTATATTTGTATGCACACCTAATCAACTTAATTTGGCATTGAAAAAGACATTTCTTTTTTGGTAAAGTACAAGTGTACAACTCATCTCAAATTTTTACATTAAGTTCGCAGGTCTAACAGTTGCAGCTAACAAGATTAATATAAGCCCCTTATTTCAGGCAAATCATTATAAACCTAATAACCTATGGCTCAGATGTTGCTATACTAATGAGTAATTACCATCATTGCTCAGGATGTACTCATAAGAGAGCAACAATGCATCCACAAAACAATCAAATCATGCAAATTCCTTCAGAAAGTAATATTCAGTAATTGAAATCTAAAGTCATGCAATTTAACATAAGCTTCTTATGAATTTAGTACCTGGTTGGAAACTGCCTTAGCCATGCGATTGAACTCCTTCTTCATGACACACTTGTGAAGCAAAGCCGCAGGTTTGCTTTGTTTCTTGGTCTTGGTAGTCGCAAGCACCACAGATTGATCTTTGCCTCCTGGTTGGATGGATACAGTTTTCTTGTTTGCTAATCCTACAAAATCAAAACATTAACATAAAAACCAAGGTTGTTAGAATCGGGATTCTACATAGGATCGGAATCGTAGAATCGGATCGAGAATTGTAAGATTCTACCAAACTAGTAGAAAAATAATTCAAACTAACTTCTTAAACAGTAATATCTTTAAAATATAGCAAGAATAAGACCAAAACAAACCAAAAAAAAAATGTATAGAAGTATCATTCCAAATATAGTTACAAACATCTTGGATAGACATATATATTAGAGAGAATGTAGCTCAAAAGGTAGAGCTCACATGACAACTATGCAACATCAATTCAATTTGAATCGTGAGAGACAATACTAACTTGCAATAGATGCTAGGTAGTAGGTCCAAGAGGAATTGACCATGGTTCGTTAAAAAGTACATCCAAAATAATAATAATAATAATAACAATAAACAAGTAACTAACATTTTTTATATAAAAATTGGGTTAAAGACACCCCTGTTTTTGTCTATAAAAAATATCTGCATTGTATTAAAGGAATGAATGAACAATTTTTCATTATACGAACATTAAACATGAAGTACTAGTAAACAGTCTAATACCAAGTAACAATTTATTAAGTCAAAACTAAAGAAAAGTAAAACCAAGAAGTCAAGAACCAAAAGTTAGAAACAGAACAAGAAGCCCAGAAAACTCATCCACCTATATTCACTGAAAAACCACAATCAATGATGAAAAAAAAAAAAAAAAAAAAAAACTGAATCTACCAACGATTCTACCTTCAATTCTACCAGAGATACAATTTATGTGCGATTCAGATCGATTTGGGGTGCTAGGATCGTAGAATCGTGTGATAACTATAAACACTACAAATCTTACTGCTCTATTTGGCTGCCAAGAAAACATAAAATTGGAAGGCAAATCAAAATAAACCTCCTATTACCACCAGCCAATTCTCCTCCCTCAAAAGGGAGGTGAGCAGTTTGAACCCCACATGGGGTAATGAGGTGTGCATATGTGTGTGTTGCTTACATACCAAAAAAGAAAAACAAAAAACCAAACTACTTTATTTTGTACATTTTCTTATAAACTAAAGAACAATATATTTTTTTTTTTTGTCCTTTTCCTCATTTTGGTTAAGGCTTATTTTCCATTTTATTACAAACTAGAGAACGATTTATTAATTTATTTTGGCTAAATAATGTTTTTTTCTTGCATTTTCTTACAAACTAAACAGCGATTGGCCCCTGATTGGCTGCCGAGAAAGCTGGAAAAAAAGATAAAAAAGCGTGAGAAACTCAACTCCATCCAGCCAAATAGTTTTAACAAGTTCAGAGTGGGTATTTAAGCTCAAATCCCTCAACAATAAATCAAAAATTAAGAGAAAACAACAATTATTTTTCCTAATTTTTCTAAGAACCAAGCATGTCAGAGATCTAAATTTATCACAAAAATAAAACAAGGAAAATAGTAAAATGTAATATCACTGAATATACCAGAGTGCTTGTAGGAGTTTAGATTGTAGAGATTGTTGCTCTCTCTGCTGAACTGCACACTCGCAGTTCCATTACCGAACTCCTTCACAAGAAACGAACTGTTCTTCTTCACTATCTCCCATATCAGCTGCCCTGGAACTGCCGCCATTTCACGCCTCTACACTGCATCCACAAAGCAATAGATATATATATATATATATACACATCAATATAAACATATACAAGAGAGAGTTTAAGAGAGAGTTTTAGAGGAATACCGAGAGATCCCAAGGGTTTACTTCTTCGGCCCCGTAAACGGAATTCAGATAGCTATAACCTTTAATTGCGATATATATACCGGTATTGAAAGTGAAACCCTAGATGCTGAGCGCAGCCTGGCTAAAACGAAAATGATTTATAATTAAAAGGGTAAATTACAGGACAACCCTTCTACACTATTTTTTTTTAATTTTTTTTATACATATAAACCTCTTTTATTTTTCATAAGAAAAATTGCAATGCCCTTTACCATCGTTAAAAAATTAAAGGATTCTAAATCTAAAATTACAAAAATGCCCTTTTTATCTATATATTAATTCGTTGTGAATTTCTATAGAAAATGGATTATTGGTTTGATTTATGTACAAACTAAACAATATATATACATATATACACATATATCCGAAGTCGAGCACACGGAGCTTTTCTTGAGATGAAGAAATCAGAGTTCACATGTTGGACGATGAATTTTAATTTTACTTAACTAAAATTCACATTCAAATATTAAATTTAGCTCTTCGGTAACTTTGTCCTACCATCGGAGCTCTCTCAGCCATCCCACAGATTCTTTTATTTTCTCGATTTTTGGTGACATTTAAGCAATTTCTTTAAAAACAATAGATGCACCGAGAATTTTTGAACCCGTAAAATATTCAGGTAAACAAAGGGGTTAAAAAACCTAAGGCATATTTGTTCATACAAAAGGGTAAAAACGTAAACTAATATTGTCTGTTTGTGACACTTGGTAATGCATTCCATCTCTTGTTAATGGTCAATGTGACCACTAGGGGGTATTTGGTAAAAATATTATGTTTACAGGACTTTGTCCTAATTCCTAAAGATTGATAAATGACCAAATATATATTCCAATGGATTCTCTTAATACACTATTTATAGCTTAATCCATGTTTCATGATTCCTTTAAAAAATCTTTAATACAAAATCTATTTCATGAGCTTCACTGACCATTAATAGAAGACATAAAACCCAATTCATATTTTAACTTGCAACATGCAAGAAATCAATTTCCAAGAAATCAATCAACATGAAAGCCCGAAATTGTATTTGAAAGTAAAAAATAATTAAAATAAAAAAACTAAGAGCTTCCACCCAACAGTACCATGGAAGATTGGGATGTTTAAGTTATTAAGCGTCCGAACAACTAAGTTCAGGAACTAAAACTTGACATCAGATCATCCAGATCCAATATCAGATCACCATCTTTACAACTCAACTAATGTTACACTATGTACACGGCAAGATCTGCCTACCTTGATCGTCTCCTCTCCCTACCACTTCCAACAGAACATGAAATGGCATGACATTGTTATACAATGGGGAATTCTTCTACCTTTAGGCAGAATGTACAGTGCTGAAAACTGAGCCCGATTATACCAAGAATGTCGAAACTAGGCCTGTCTAATCGAATCAAAATCCCTACCAGACCAGAAGGGGGAAATTTCCAGCTACAGCAACTATGTTTGGAGGGACAAATTTCATGAATTGCTTGATGTCACAACACGGTGGTAAGCTGGTCGTATCGAACGGTTCAGTGCTGCATTTATCCTACTGAACACTACTTTCAAGGGAACACAAGCAAGAGCAGGGCCCTTGAGCTTCTCTATCACCGGTTTCTTCTCTTCTTTGCTTTGTTTGTCAGAACCAGTTAGTGAAGATAGTTTCCGGATCTTCTTATTAGATAAGAGCCCGTTTTTCCTTGTCTTGGATGATTTACTCGGTGAAACACGTGGCTGCAATTTCTGATGCTTGGTAGGAGTCTTTCCACTTCCCAGCTTTGGCTTCAATTCAATGCCCATATCAACACCTTCCAAAGTAGACATATTTTCTTCCATATCGTCATCAAACTCACAGCTGCTACTGGTCAGGTAGCCTTCTGGACCGCTAATTAGAAGATCACAAAAGCCATCATCTAAAAGCTCAATTGTAATTGGATGACCTGTGATTGGTCGACCATTCAATTTGCTCATTAGAGAAATATATGGAACATGCTGAGGTCGATAGCTGGATTGCACCTCCAGATTAACTTCATACAAGGAGGAAACAGCACCATAATTTCTGACAGAAAAATCTGACGAATTATATTTTGGGTTAACTGTAAAACGGGACTGACGATAGGGCAGTGACCTCTGGGGGGTCGGCGACCAATCAGACAAAAGATTTATCTCAGCCATTGGCCCCCTCTGAGGTTCCTTGTGAGGCATATGCCTGCTCCAACCCTGGAACTCGTTAACCTGGGTCTCTGTAACAGGTCTGGGCTTTGCTCTATAAGCACAACTATCTGAAGCGAGGGACCCACCAACTGGAGTGCAATCAACCTCCCAACCAGAACCAATACCTGCCAAATAAGCATTGGATTCATCATCCAGATCAACAGATCTTCTTGAATCATGTTTTCTATTTTTCGTTGTATGTCTTGAGTTCCTCTTTCCTTTCAACTGCCACCTTGAAGTACTTTTATCTATCCCCTGGCTAGCATTGTTAACATCAGCAGCACCTGAACTGGTTGAACCAGACTCATTAAACTCCTCATTTCCCAAATATACAGTTTCAACTTGACTGCTTTGACTAGATTGCGCTCCAGCAGCAAACTGAGGCTTTTGAGATGAACTAACAAAGCCTGGTGAATAAATTAAATATCAGCATATGGTTAAAAATCAACAGAACCAATGGAAAGCCTCATATCAGATAGAAGGGCATGGAAGAAAAGGTTGATTATATAAATAATGCAACTGAAAGGTAGGCATGCAAACATGACAGACAACTAAGAATTAACATTATTGTTACATAAGAACAGCTAGACTAACAAGGACACTGAGCCTCTCTTATTCTTACCCTTGTTTCTCCCAAAAGTGCTTTCGTTTGTGCACCTTATACAGTTCCTACACTATAGTTCTGTTATATACTAAAAGTAGCAGTTGAATTCTATCTACTTTTAATCTTGATAGAAGTTCTTTATATTTTAACTTTGCAGTGTTTGTGCTTTGAGACTTGTCAATCATAGTGCAGAAATTACCACCTTTTGTCGATACTCCACATTTTCCCTTGGTTTTGGTTTTACTCTATTCTAGGATAATCTTTCCACATTGCTTTGACTTTGTCATAATTGCTGCAATTTGTATTATATTATGATAAGACAACATTTCCATTTGATGATGCGAGTAACGTGCAATTCTTTTTAAGATGATTCATCGTGTAATGGGGATGTCTGTCAATCATCATTCATGCATAATTATCAAAATGACATATGTAATGCTTTCTGTTTTTCTGCACAAGTACATCAATGCTGCCAATAAAAGTGATTGTGAGTACCATTGTAACAAAATAACAGTTAAATACAAGGGCTCCTACAGGGAAAGTGCTCAGTGGTCAGAACCCATCTTAAACAATTATTATAAAGTTATCACCAAAGCCTTTCAAATGGGTAAATCACAAAGGCACTCACTCAAGCACGTTTATAGTGTCACAAAATCACATACAGAAGCCTCATCGTAACAATTCCCGTGAAGTAAAACAAAATCACAAAGAGAAGCCTCATCATAACAATTCCTGTAAAGTAAGTGTATTCTTTTGGGAGCGCTCCCCTCTTGAGGGCCTTTTAATGAAATCTTACTTAAAAAAAATAAAAAATAAAAAATCCTGTAAAGTAAAATATAGAACCTCACGACAGCTATAGTCCAAGTGGCATCTCCTCCTCCTTCCAAATAGAAGGTTGAGGGTTTGAGTCCCCTATGGGATAAATGGGTGCGCATGTGTGACTAACTAATTAAAATAAAAAGGGAACTTCATATTCCTTATATCCTATGTAAATGAAGCTACGTTATTCAGGAAAAATAAATTAATTAATAAAGCTACGTTAGAAGCTGTTCTCTAATTCAAACCACCAAGGCCTGTGGTTATGGCCTAGTGGTGTTCTCCTCTCCTTCAAAGTGAAAGTTAGAGGATTCAAGTCTTGCCAAGAGCATTGTGGGAGTCCTTTGATAGGACCAAAAATATATATATATTCAGAAGATTAAAAGAAGACTATAATTCATATATATGTTTCAACCATGAGCCGCGATCACATTTTACAGGATGTGAGAATTTTGGCAACAAAAAAACTGAAAACTATTTAATAAAAAAATAAATAAAATAAGAAACAAGAAATATTGAAAACCTAGGAAGCATGGACACCGACACGGGACACAGGTACAATACGACACGGGACACGGGTACAATACAACACGGACACGTCGATACGGCAAATTTAAAAAAAAAATAGGACACGGACACGGCAATAAAATAATATTATATATAAAAAATTTAATTTTTACTCAAATTATAATTTATATTCATAAACATAACTAATTTAATTTAGGCCCACTCAAAAGCCCAACTTCTTTTGCAAAATATAGAAGTGAAGTAGCCCAAATTCTATTATATACTGAATATCTATATGTCAAAAAACAGTGGTGGTAAAAAAATAATAATAATTAATCTTAAAAGATAAGACTTTGATCCCTCTATCGCTCACTCTCTTTCTTATCATCTGTAGTCTGTGCCTCTTACTCTCTCTCTTTCAGATGGTGTCTCCCTTCTTCATTATCTCTTTCAGATGGCGTCTCCCTGTCTCTTTCAATTTCTTTCTCTTTCAGACGGCGTCTCCCTACTTCGTTATCTCTCTCAATTAGCCCTCTCTGAGATTTATTTCTTTCACATATTTAATTATTTTTTATGTTATACCTCATACATATATATATATATATATATAACATCGATCTGTATCTTTGGCAGGGTAAAAAAACACCTCCAAACAGTTGGCGTGTCCAGCCGCCGTATCCCCAGCGTGTCGGATGCCGTATCCAACGTAAAAATAAAGAAAAATAAGCGGACACTTCTAGCCGTGTGTCGAACACATGTCCGACACTGGTACGCCAGCACTATTGCGCGTGTCGGTGCCTCCCAGTTGAAAACTAACACATCTCCAAATGCTAACTCATTAATGAACAAAGACAACATGCTTGCACAAACAAGTAGACTCTACAAACAATGCAATATGACATTCAAATAGAGTGTAAAAGTAATGCAAGCCTGCAAACTATTAGATAAGTTAATGCCCCTCGATATATGGATACAGAAAGAAACAAGTGAATTGCATAGCTGTTCTAGCACAGTGGCAAAATATGCTGGTATAGCATCTAGAAAGGAAGTATGGTGTTACGGGTTCAAATATCATTCTCTATAAGAAAGGGGGAAAAAGAAAAGGAAAGTCAATTACTGGACGCAGGAGCGTACATGACAAATAAATAAATAAATAAAATCTAAGTCGAGCATTGAGCTCTTAAGATGCGCTTAATTAACAGTCAAATCTTCTTATGAATTCTGCTACTACAGCTTTCGTATGCATAGCACAAAGGGTCGCACCTTACTAGAGGCAAGCTATGTATGTCAACCTTGGGTTGTAAATAGGCAAACTGACAATCTAGCTTTAGGGGTTAAAAAGTAGTTTGATTATTTATCAGCCTTAGAATCTGCAGTTTGAACAAGATAAAAAGCTATGTTTCATTATGAATAATTTGCCTCTTGGTCATGATCCTAACAAGCCAAGCTTTCAGGTAATTCAGGCTTGGCTCTTTACAGAAAACAGAGCAAAAATTCTAGGCTCTAGTTTGGCTAACATTTTTTTTTTTTTTTTTCCTGATATGTAAAAAATCATTGCAAGAACAAAAGGGGAGCGCGCCCAAAGAACAACTGTACAAAGGCCCCAAAGTGGGCCAACTATACTTTCAATCTATCCACAAAATCCCCCAAAGATTTACAATTTCACCTATTAACCCAAAAAATAAAGAACTCAAAATGGAATGTTTTAAGCAGACAAATAGTGTCTCCTCCCCACAAAAGAATCTCGTATTTCTCTCTTGCCACAAACCCCACTACAAACAAAGCCCTCCATGCATTCTGCTAATTGGCAATACTCCAACGCGTTAAAGAAGATAATTGGTTGATCTAAACGACTTGGGTTTGCCCCTTCTTGGGATACTATCAAGAAGTTTCTTGCTAGTGTGAGCGCTCTCATCTAAACAAATTATGTTGGCATTGAAGCAGGCTTAACAAGATCCAACTGTGTGTGCTCTGTTAACGAGAATGCTCTACCACCTACATTTCAATAAGTTCACATTTTCACCAGTTGCCTATGACAATGACACATATTCACGAAATTAGATTCGAGAAAATAACCTCCAAATTCTAAAACTATTTCTCAAACATTTTTTAGTATCTATCTCACAAAATTAGATTTAGAAACTGCTTCATAAATTACTACTTAGCAATGCCAAATATTTCCACTCTTGCATTCCCTCTGCTGTCCCAGGCCTATCATCTCACAACTTCATCATACGATATATATAAAATCCATCTGTATTGTGGTCAGGGTAAATGGAGAGTGCCTGTCAATGGGGCTTCCACAGAAACAAGAATATAATCCAGATATCAGGTTAATTGTTACTCAAAATTAAAATTGCTAACTTAACCTTGTATATCATTGAAAGTTGTGTTTTTCCTAATGTTATTATAAAAAAGAAAAGTTGAGTTTATTCCACTAGTATGCCAAAAACAGACAATATCATCACAAAAACAAGAAATATATATATATATGAGAGAGCAAAGAAAATGTAGAAAGAGAAAAAATGGATTTAGTTCACATTTATATCAAGCATACCTGCAATGTGTTTTTCCTCCCCAACAAATGGCACATCAAATAACATGTCAGAAAAATCATTCTCAGGTAGGCCCAACATGCTGGAAATTTCGTTCTCCTTCTGTTTAATAAGGGAAGCATCGAAAGCATGATCAGAAGCACTTAGTGAGGTTCCATTCTCACATGAAACTCCAGTACTATCCGAGTTATTATTAATTACCACTGAAAAACTTCTCTTTGATTCATTAGATTCTAATCCAGAAACCTTGCTGTCAGATACTCCCGTGAGAGGTGATCCACTTGGACTGGCAAGTTGTTCACACATAACTGGAACAGACACCATAGCTGTACTTTCTAAAACCTTAGTCAGTGGACGACGGCGATTTTTTCTTTTCAAGAACTCTTGAACCTTGGCCACTTGAGATCTCTTCCTTTTCAATGATGACACTACACCTATTCCCAGGTCCTCAAGTCCTCTCATACGCTTTATTCCTTCCATTCCATCATCCTCTGAATCATTTGGGGTTCTGCGTTTTCTTCCCTGCACAGAATGCTCCATAGAAGCATTGATCTGATTAGTTTCTTCAAATGATACGCCAGATTGAGACAATTCCTGCCCTGAATTTGAATTATCTTCAAAACTACTCAGTTCCTCAGCAACATGCTCATCTTGTTTGCCAGGATGAAATAAGATCGGCGACGCAAGATTAAGCTGTTCACCACCTGATTTATCCATTCTTGAGCAAAGGTCAGGTTGATCTTTAGATAGGCGAGCACTTTCGAGCTCAAGAGCATGAATAATGGCATCTTCCCTCCGAGCATATTTCACTGCTTTCTTAGAAGAATTAGCTTCAGAAGCCTTAGCTTTTGCAATGCACTCATCAAACTCCCCACAATGAAATGGCTTCACCCGTTTAGATTTTTCAAGATTATACCAGTCTCTGAATAAATAATAAAAAGAAATTTTCAAAAAAATCAGACAAACATATCAATAGGAAGAGAAAAACATCAAACCTAAGCGAAAAGAACTTGATATTTAAATGTTACAGAAAAGACCAATACCACAAAAAAAATTTATAGTAAATAAAAAATAATAAGTAAAAACACCATGAATCAATAAAGCACCAATTACAAATGGTGCCTAACAGCGTCAAGAAATATTTAAATGGTTTATTATGAATTTTTATTAGAAAGAAGTTGGTCCCTTAAATTTCTGATGTGCGACACAAAGCAGGCCCAGTGTTTTTAAATGCATAGTTAAGTTGCAATGAGTAGAAAGAATTTGAATTTGGTCAGGGATACTCCAAAGTCAGCAGCTGTTTTCCATAATTGAAGAAATTCAGAATACAGAACCAAATCTATTTTCCTTCTGTTTGGCAATTATGACAAGAAGAATATTCAGTTTCATTCCAATAAATTGCGCAGACTATATACATATTCAGAACCAAACTGTATGCTTTAGCATCTCAGACAAATTCAATAGGAAGATAATACTCACCTACATTGTTCATAACTAAAGCTTGTGCATGTGCATAAAACAACAATTGGAATAAAACTACTATGTTCTTTCATATTTAGAATTATACTATTATGTGGAAATCATAATCTAACTTCCAGTTCACATGCTTTCTTCCTTCTTAAAAGAAAAAAAGGAAATTATGGAACTCATAGCAAATGAGGCTCCAAATCCTTTAGAACATCAGTAATTGCTATTCTTCGCTTCATCTTCTTCTTCTCAAATATTTCAAATCAATTAAAAAATCAAACTATGGCAAACATCTCATACACAAAGTGTATTTCGAGGATGAGAAGTAAACCCCACGAATACCTCAAAATCTGAGGTTCTAATGGATCACTTATTACATGATAACCAAATTTCATGCACTGACTCCTGTCTCTGATTACCTCATGCACAGGTCCAGTAATTTCGCGTTAACGATTGACAATAACCATATTTCATACACTGATTCCTGTCTCTCATTACCTCATGCACGGGTCCAGTAATTTTGCGTTGACAATTGACAAACAACCAAGTAACATATGCAGCTTAGAAAAATATGTGATCAAATAACAGGTAATACTAAAACATGTATTTTCATTTTAAAAATAAAGCAATGAATTCAAACATTAAATGAATTATATAGAGCAGAACTTTTGGGAACAGAAGATGACAAGGGGTGTACAACGGATTATGAAGCAACAAATCAACATATAAAATAGCTCCGTGCAACCCAAGAGAAGGTACTTTTAAGACACAACATTTTAAGACAGCTCTTGCTAATATCATCATTTATAGATATTGTAGAAACCCATTAAGCCAACTATTCAGGTGGTCAATACATTTTTTCATTACTGCAACTTTTGTTACTTTTGGAATATTATCTCTTATTTTCAGAACTAAAAATATGTCCTACACCGGGTGGGAAAAATCTATTATTGCAAAAAGAGAACCCCACTTTAGTTACATTAACAAAACAGGACAAATTCAATCGAGTATTACAAATGATAGCAACAGTTTAATTATCTCATCACAATTTCTTGTTAGTAAGTATTATACTAGGTAAATACAAATGGTACACTTGCGGCACAATGGAATTATGCCAAAAAAAGATGTAAGGCAGTAGAAAGAAAATGAGGGTGCACCACTTGGCCATGTTTATCTGCTATTCCTTGAGTTCACATAACACACATATTAGCAAACACATGGGCTAGGTTTAGCATAAACAATGGCTTTTTGGAACATCTTATGTGGAAGCTTCAAAACCCATACGGAGACGAGGGGAGGAAAAAAAGAACAGACAGGGAAAAAAGGGATGGTTGAAGATCACGACGAAAGGCTTAAAAAAAACCTCCCTTATTTTTTACTTTTTGTTTATCTTTTCTTCTTAAGAATCTTAAGCAAAAAAAAGCTATTATTTAACCATCTCAAGCACAAGTGCAGTTTGAAGTCCCTCCAGCACCTTCTATTCACCAGGATCATTACTTGGTAATTGCCTTTGGACCCAGTATTTGTCCTGTCAAGCAGATTGCTGCAATGGGTGGATTTGGTACAGACCCAAGAACTAACATTATTTGTACAAAGTAGACGTCCTGATAGTCAAACTTACATCCTCATGCTCATTAGCACATGTTCACACACAAACGCACGCAAATAATAAATAAATAAACAAAAGAGTCAAACTACTCAATAAGTCACTATATCCAAGTTGTGAACTAAACAGGATTGGTTGCAATGATTCCTTCTCTGCCATTAAGATTTACAAGGATATTGTTCACATCAATCAAAACAACCACATCAAATTCAAGAACTTAGGAAATGAAAGACGTCACAAATTTTTTAATGATCTCTCATATGAAAGTGAAAATGCCAAAGTTCACATTAACGACTATGGTCATTAGCATTGACCAGTAAATAAATTTAGTGGTAAGAATTAAGAGAAATTTGACTTCTTTCTCCTGACCATTTCACAGAGTATAACTGATTAGAATGTTCACCAAAAATCCCTGTCCCTCACACAAACTACCTCTGAGATATGACACACAGATTTATTAGAGCAAAGCAAAGACAAGTAACCATTAAATGAGATCCCTTCAAGACTGTGAGGAGCAAAATAAGATGATAGCGGGATCGACAAGGGCAACAATGCATTGTCACTAGATCTATCTAACTCTAAAAGCAAAATAGAGAAGAAGAAAACTGGAAAGGATTGAGCATCCCAAATGAGCATTCTACAATCGCAGCCTACACAGTGTTTACTTCTTTCTAATAACTAACTTAATGAAAGAAAAAGAAGAAAAACAACCATGAATACTGGATACATAATACAAAACTATACTCTAAGGTAATTATCTAGTGTAGTCCTTGTTAACCAAGGGTGCTGGGATGAGCAGTACAAGTCCAAAATCACAAAAGGTCAACATAAGTATCTATAAGAACTGAAAATTGCTCCATGGTCCAAAAAACCAAGGAACTTGATCACTATCTCAAATAGAAAGTTCGAGTACGAGTTGGTAGCTTTGGGAATGTAACGTAGTGATCTCTCATATTCTGTACAGTACAAGTGGAAATATCATTAAAGACCCAAAATCTCATTTCTAGCCTTGTTAAATACATTTCCATTGCCAATTTGCCACCTTTATGTTGATTGCATACAATCAAATAGATTTACCATTCTGGGTCAAACAATAATGGCAAGTGCACAGGCTTACTAAACTCATCCAGTCAGAAACCTAAATAATGTGAAAAAGCATGTGCCTACATAACCTCAGAATGTTCTTTAAAAAAGACTAGACAACCACTCTGAAAAATGAAAGCCAGAAGAATGGCATTGATCACATCAAACACCTTGATATCAGCAGTGCAATCTTCAAAATCTTATTTCTCTTCATTCCAAGATACACCATACAGATGCAAGGTAGTAACTCAAGTAAAAATGACCAGAATCAAAGTACTTTTGAAGCATACCCATACATGCTGTCATACTGTCACAAGCATAGACACGAATGACACAGGCTAGTCATAAATAAATAAAAAAAAGAAAAAAAGTATCACACCATAAGAACCTGTTCTGAACACAAAAAACTCAAAAATGGGTAAAGGATATGTGTCCGGCGTGTCTGATTGGATAGGAAGCTAACAAGCATAGCATATCTAATATTGAAAATTTATGATATATCACTTTAGAAATTAAAAGAAGAATATTAAACAATATGAATGTTTACTTGTGCCCTTGTTTATGAGGATCTGGTAAATCAGACACTAACACGCATATTTGCACTTGACACACATAAAACCCGAACCCCATGTGACATAGATTATGGGTACACTAATGTAACCTTTGGCAAATTCATCATCACAAAATCAAGTTCATGCTTTATAAAGCCATAAATCTGATTCAAATCACCAACACATTTAGAATGATAATGTGTATGTAAAACTTAAATGATAACTTTGATCACGCATAACTAGGTCAATTACTATCTTTTGACATTTGTTTTTTGTTTCTCCATATTTTGATTTACTTTTAATAATACTTAGTAATTTCATTTTTCTTTTATTCACTGAGCAGGTTGACATGGGGGTTTAGACTAACCATTACTATTACATGAGCAAGGTTCTAGTAAGGTCTTTCAATCAAACAATTAAAGGGTCCAGAATGGGATTGCATTTTTTATCATCAACATATACCAATGGCCAGCTTCACATTGGACATGCAACTAAACTCCCCATAGCTATTACCAACGCTCAAAAAATTCCATATACTTCTCCAGTATCACAATCGCTAGACTTGTTATCCCTGACTTTAGCTAAAAAAAAAAAAAACTAGCCTGTATCTACAAAGCTTTCATGCTACTAAGATCTTTAGGCATGGAGACCCTCTCAAAAGCAAAAACCATCTGGCATCAGATAAAAGAAGAATTGGCATCCCTAACAAGATCCTCTAATGAAATATACTATCATATAACCATATGATATAAGCACATGCACACAAACATAAAGAAAAAAATTCTCATCTTCGTCAACTAAGATAGGAGTTGAGAGTTGAAAAAAAGACTGAGTTCTTGACGACTTCAACTTGGCCATGTTAAGTGGTCAGTCATTTCAGCAAAAGCAGTCATCCAATATGCATCTCACCTAAAACTAAAAGCTAAAAGGAAATTACAGTAGAAGCATGAAGAATATCTCATAGGAATTTTGAGGATAAAACAAAAAGTGGATTGGAAACCATTCAAGTAACAAGTGTGCGAAAGTGATTATCTCAAGTATTTTTAACCAAACTAAGATAATTGAACAGAATGCAGCCTAAACAATGACAAAAAATAATCAATATTTCTTTATCCCAAACTTCTAAAGGAAGTATCCAGGATGTTGTCCAAGTACTCTAATTTCCATGAGCATGATGCAATTAAACTAAACACGTGATTATCCCAACCTTGACATGTGTGTGTATATGAGAGAGAGAGAGGGAACAGAACATTCGTAAACCAACAATGAAGGTTCCAAGTCTCTATTATAAAGAGTGAAGGCAGTAGTGGATTCTACTAAAGAGCAAGCAAATTGACATAAAACACAAGCTGTGCATTTCATGGTGAAAACCAACGATGCTGCACAACTAGGCATCCATTTTCAGCTATGCACCAATATACAATATGGAACGACTATAAGACTAAGACGATATATAACAGTTTTGATTGATATGACAAACCACAATGTATTTCATCAAGAAGCATTTTATACATCCATGTCCTCATGTTAACCTAAAACAATTTCAGTTTTCCCTCATCAAAAATGTTATTCTAAGGTCAACATCCACCAGAGACGAATAACCACTGAATAATTAAACAAAATATAAAGATGTTCAAGCACTACTCTTTCCAAAACCACATATGCATTTATCAGAGCATTGCATACAATAAAAATCCACAACCCAACCATATAAAACCTTCTAAAACAACAAAGAGACCATTCAAAGTTAATGAAAACTGTAACATAGGATTAAGTTTAATATCTTCAATTACTTTCTGTATACTGCCACATCGCAAACATACACAAATAGTCAGAAACTTTTTGTGACGCCAAGCAACTGAACAAAAAAATTAAAAATAAATAAATTATGTTAGTATTAGCACAGACACACACATACAAATGGTGAGAAACTTACACGCTTGCATCCTCTCTCCCTAGAAGCTTCACCGGAGTACCCGACCTTGGTGACACCAAGCAACTTTCCGGCAATTCATCAGCACCCAATATACGACCCGGCCACCACGACCCGTTTCGACGCCGGACCCAAACCAACCCGCCAACAGACGGATCGATAGCCTTCGTGTTCAGCTCACCAGAACTCTCCATCTCTCACCACACAACAACAAGACCAATGATCGATCTCAAATACCCATCTAAAAACCCTCCAATCCTAAACACATTGGAGTTCCATATCCCTGAACCATGCCAGCATAATTCAAATACCTTTTGACCCTAAAACCACGGAGAAAAAAAACACAAAAAAAATCAGAAAAATTCCAAAACCTCATGCAACACAAAATCCACAAATGTCACTACAGATAAATTAAGAAATTACACCGACATGTCCAAATAAAAAATCTGACTAAACACAGAGAGAGGATAGAAAAACCCAGATTAGAGGGTTTATAGCACAGAGAGATCTGGTAGAGACAGAAACGAGAAAAAAAAATATAGGATTTTTTTCTAGAGAGAGAAAGACCATGTACTTCTTAGATTTTCTTACTGAAACTGTAGTGCGTGGTTTCACAGAGAGAGAAAGAGAGGTGGTGATGAACGATGAAGTTGTGTGCTTCTGTTAGAAATACATCGGACGTACCTTTTGGTATCTTTTTGCCAAGACAAAGCCCTTCACACACAACACACACGGGAGAGAGAGTATACTTTTTTGGTTTTGGAGGAGGGTGAGAGGGAGAGTTTTGGTGGATTTTTATTTTTAATACTGAAGTGGAGGAGAGAGAGAGAGAGAGAGAGAGAGAGAGAGAGTGTTTTGATTACCCACGATAGGTTCTATATTAACATGACTGCGCCACAATTTTAACTTATCTATATATATATATATATACACCTAAAAAGCACATAGACGAATACAAGTACGAGCACAAATACCATATAATATGGACATGAAAATATTTAGTTAATCAACTTGTACCATACAATGCTCAAAGCATTCTCGACTCTAATGCAACAAATTAACTGTTGCAAAAAATGATACTAGTAGGAAAGACAAACATCTGAGCACGATATGTTCCGTTATCGATTGCATTGATTTGACTGTTGCTAAAAAATTTGGCCAACTGAACCCTCAAGCATGATAGATTGATTAACTTATCTAACTTATTTAATATAAGATTCTCACTTGTTGAAGGTGAAGTTTTGAAATAGAACAATTCCTTTTGTCATGTATCCTCGATTAATGCAGCCTCAGATGCTATGCTTCAATTGTCAATTATAGTATTGAGCGCAAGGTTACACCTAGAGGTTCTGTATTACAAGTTAATCCTCCTCCATTGGTATCAATAGGCGGCATAGGGGAAGAAGCACTACACCTAGGAATCAATAACACAAAAAACTTTGTTATAAATGACCCATTTCCTTATTGGGCTTGGGACTAACAAAAAATGGTTGGGATAACAAACATCCAGCTCGTTCGTACTTTGGATACCTGTATAACCAAACTGCTAAAAATTAAGAGTTACACTAATTTAAAGTAAGTATAAGGTATTGATTTGTGTGGTTGTGGATTGGATACAATCCCATCGAGTATGGCGAGATATTACAAATATATATTTTTAAAAATTTATTAAGTAATTAGGGATGCATATTTTGTATATCGTGTAGCCCATTTGGAAAATAAGGCCTGATACATATATATATATATACATTTTATTATCAAATTCCTATAATACAGTGAATTTAAATAAAATTATTAAATTAACCGGCCAGTGACCTACTTGTATCAGGCCTTATTTTCCAAATGGGCTACACAATATACAAAATATGCATCCCTAATTACTTAATATATTTTAAAATTATGAATACTCAGGACACCTCAAGTATCCTAGAAGTACCAGTATTCCACACGATACAAGTAATAGTGCTTCCTAGTTTGTAACCAACCGATGGCTGTGATTTCCCTTGGACTTAAATCCGTGATGGTGTGTCATACTCATATTTTAAGTTCCCTGCGAGTAAAAACATAAAACACAAAAAGGACAAACAGAGAGCTCGTAGGTTTTCTATACAGCTTGCAGGGAGTGTCTGAACTTCGTCTCAAGAAATACCACTCTCGAGAAGAAGACAGAAGAGGCGAATCAAAGCAAAAGCAGAGCACAACCATGACAGGTACTGGTTCAGAATATTGTTTGTCATTCCATTTTGTAATATAAAATTGCATGATGATTATCTCTTTTGGTGAGGATTTGATATTGTTGTTTTTGTGATAGTAATGCAATTTTTGAATGCTTGTCTTCTATTGATGATCCGATGATTAAAGTGTTGGTGATATTTTGGGTTTTTTCTTGGTGTAAGGTGATTATTTTTGGGAAATTAGAGATACCTAGAAGGTGAAATGGCAAATTTGTTTTGTGAATTCAAATTGAGGTTGTTTCTTTCATCATTTGAGGATGTTTAGGGGCAGTGGTGGATCAAGGAATTATGCCCGGGGTCCAGAGTTCATGCATCATTAAAACTGTCAAGATAGTTCTAACTGCTATTTTTACTAGTCAGGGGATAAATAATTAATACTAAATCAGTTTCTACAAACGTGAAAATCAAGAAGTTGTCATTAGAATGATAAAGAAATCAATAAATCTAGTCAATGTTAACATTGTTGTTGGTCGATGCACTAGTGGATTTGGGGCTTCTGGCTTTTTGCCTTTTAAATTCTATGCGATTACTTACTATAAATAAATAAAAAAATTGGTATTTGGAAAACTAGTGTATTTAAAAGAAAATGAAAATATAGAAGAAAGTAAAATCGTCTTGATATTCAAAATAATGCTTTTGAATAGTTGTCTCATAGTTCAAATGGATCCAAATGGAACATCAAATGGTTCTTTAATTCATCAGAACACTATTATAATAGAAATTGCCCTCTTTTCTAGGTTTTTCCAAGCCTAAATGTGGTTCAAGGACATAATTGTCAATTTTTTGAATAATAGCATTATCTGCTGCTTGAATCGTAGAAGCCTAAAGCAGAGGTATTTCTCAAATTAATTTTAAAAGAAAAAAGCAGTTCTATGTTCTATTAATTGTCTTAGGCATCTGCCATATAATTTTCAGGTGAACACTGGTTTGACCACCACCAAATTGGCTTTGCCTAATTAAGTGGTATCTCCTCCTGCTTTCAAATGAAAGGTTGAGGCTTCAAGTCCCCATGAAACATGAATGTGTGTCTGTGTATGAGTTATCTACCAAAGAAAAAAAAAAAAAAAAAAAAAAAAAAAAAAACTGGTTTTACAAAGTAATCTTAAAAAATACAAGTCAGAAAAATGGAGTGTGATCGAACATTGTACTGTCTGGAAACTGTCCAAGTTCATACTCAGTTATTGCAAAAGCAACTAAAACGGTGTTATGGCTCTCAAAATCATCTACTTGTCTAGGAACGTCAGATAGTCCAACACTCGAACCTCGATTCAATTTTAATAGAAGGGGAAAAAAAAACCTTGAATTTTAATAAATTCTTAATTGTTTACGAATTGAGACCTACATATAATATGCATATATATGTGTGTGTGTGTGTGTGTGTGTATGGGATATATCATCTGTTCTCTTGCTTTCTTTTCAGTAATTGTCTTGCTCTAAGCCTCAAATTCTATCTTTTTGAACATGTTCTCTTTTGTTAATGACGATAAAATTACAAACTATATTATAGAACCCTTTACTCAACATAGATAGAAGGGAGGGGCTGTCATCCCCTTATATCCGCTGGTGTTTAGGGGTATGGCTCTGGTAGTTAAGGCTAACGTTTTAGAAAACATGGAAATATTGAGCATCGCGAAAAATGATTCTATTGGTATTTATTTCTTTTTTCATGTGACTGCCACGGGATTATTGTTTTGGTGCAATTTTAAAATCTTGGGTTGTCAAGTATGAGGATGCGAGTTCAAGTAAGCAAACAGCCACTTTGTGTAAAATAATACTAAAGTTCTTGGTTTCTTCCCCGTCTACCCTCCCAACACTCTGCATAGGCGAGAAAATATTATATTCAATACTTTGCCTGCATCAGCGAACTCCAAGTTTGCATGCACAAAGAAGTGTAAAAATCTGTATTTAAGAAACAAATAATATTCTATTATCGAGGTTTATTTTGGCGCTTGAAGAGTGCTTTCATGGTTTGTTTGTTGCTTGTGTTAGTTTCTTGCTTTATTTATTTCATCCGTATTAAATCTTCTTGACAGACTATGTGCAGGAGCAAGAGATGGAAATTGAAGCCCTAGAAGCTATACTTATGGATGATTTTAAAGGTTTATACTACCTATCCTTTAAAAATATGTTTAGAAATACCTAAAAACTACTATTTTCTTTTCGAAAATCTTGCCTTGTAACGATGACTGTTTTCTCTTTGGTGTATCTTGCCAGAAACTCACCCTAGTGAAAGTGGGCTAAACACTTCTAATAGGTGCTTCCAAATTACACTATCTCCACAGGTACAAAATTAGTGCCATTCTTTATATATTTTAATTAGCACGCTGTATGGTAGCCTAAAATCTATGCACAATAAGTTCGGATATTTTTCTATGATATATGTGGAAGGTTGCACAGATTCTAAAATTTCAATTATCAAAAGGAACAAATGACCCGGTTTAACTCGCACTTGGTTATTTATCAATTAAATATAGTCCTGTGTGTGTGTGTGTGTAAAAATTGTGTAAGTGTGTTGTATGTACCCATGAATAACAAACACAGTTCATTCACCACAACATCCAAAATCCACAGGCAGAACCCCTTAGAATAGGTATTGCATGTCAAGACTGGCAATCCGACAATCCCTATCTAACTCCAAGAAGATTAAGTTTTACAGGATTTTGGCTAACAAATGATAAGATAAAAGAGAATATAGATGTGGATATAGAGAGCTTTAGTTGAAGGATAGCCAAGTTTGAAAATTTCAAATGGGAGGGGGATTTTGCATTTGCTTAGAAGGCAAGATTGTATTTCAGCACTTCTTGCGAAATCCTTTTGATGATGAAATTTTGTTCACTTCACCGTGTATTTCTTAAAGGCCCACCTAGCCCCAAAAAATGCTCCAGTTTGTTAAGACTTGGTCAAAGCACCTCAATGTACTCAAAGGAAGTGCCTTAAGTTAGGGGCACATAAAATCTTCATGCAATCACTCTTTTAGTAGGTTCAGTGTGCCTTTATATTTAAAATCATTTATCATATCCTTTTGTTTTCTTTTTCTTAGTGACTGTTAATTGATATGCTCTAAGTCATATCCTGGTCATATTCGATAGTCCGTGTTGTCTAATCTTATTGGATATTATGTTTTCAAAATTCACGAGCTTGTGGTTGACTAATTGCATTAATTTATCTACAACTTAATTCTGAAATTAATAATAATATAATAGATTCTTAAAATCTTTATGATTGTAGCCTTTTATTATCGCACAATTGCAGCCTTGCACATGCAACAGTTATTATGGAGCATTCTCCTCCTACTCCCCAAATTGTTAGTAGTGATCGCTTCCCAAACTGCTGTACTGGTAAAATAGAACACCTTGAAGGCACATCAACATGGCAAATGCTAATCCAAGGAAAATTTGCCTCTCCATTGCTATTTAACAACTTATACTAGGGCTGCAAGTTGGGCTGGCCCAACCCAGCCCAGTCCCAACCCAACCTCAACCCGAATCGGGTTGGGTTGGGCTAGCCCGAATTATACCCAACATGGGTTATGATCATAGCCCAGCCCGAATATTTTCGGGTGGGTTGGATCGGGTTGACGGGTTGATTTTTTTCCCCCAACCCCCCCCCCCCCCCCGAAAATTTATATATATTATATATACTTGATTATATTATTATTAAAAAACAAATTATATATATATATATATATTATATTTGATTATTTTTAGGGCAAATCATTTTAGCCTCCCCAATCGCCTCCATCACTATTCTCTCTGAACTTGCCCCCCTCTCTCTCTCTCTGTGCAACTGCAAACTACAAAATCTACAAGAATCAGAAGTTCAAAACCCATATATTTCAATTTTATATTTCTGTCTGCAAGAATCAAAAGTTCAAAACCCATATCGGCATATCATTTCAGATTGTTCAAAAAATCAAAACCCAGATCTTTCAGTTTCCATCGTCCGTTGTTCTAGTTCGGGTTCGCCGTTCGCAAGCTTCAGCTGTTGTCTCTCAACTCTCAAGCTTGCCCCCCTCTCTCTCTGCAATTGCTGACTTGTAAGTATGGGGACGGCGGCAGAGAGAGAGAGAGAAAGGAGAGAGAGAGAGAGAGAGAGAGAAAGAAGAGAGAGGAGAAAGAAAGGAGAAAAAAAAAATGGGTTGGGTTCGGGTTGAGCCCGAGCCCAACCCGAATATGTCTAGGTTTTGACAAAACCCAACCCGGACATGAGCCCGATTTGTGAACTTAAAGCCCAAATTTCAAAATTTCGGGTTGGGTTGGGTTAGCCTGCCCAAGTTGCAGCCATAACTTATACTATGAACTTACCCTGAATTCTCCAAACTTGTCCTCTTGCCAACGCAAGGCTTCTCCTTTGTTGTGGCAGTGACAAATCCATAGGTAGTTCAAGAAAATCCCACAATCTCCAACTCCCAATCCTGGAAGTTTTCAATAAATCTAGGCTGCAACACCAGTCCGGGCCACTCGAAAGTATCCTAGGACATAAAAGGTCATTCATGCTTGGGATTTAGAATAATGGGTGATGGCTGACGCTGAAATGGGGATATTGAGGTGAATATATGGCAAGAGAAGAAAGATGAAATGAAAATCAATTTCATAGAATTTAGTAGCGAAAATTAGGAACACTATGAGGAAAGGTTGAGATAATGTGGCCAGTGGCCAAAAAGGTAAAATAGAATAGCCACAAATGACACATTTAACCAACCTTATTTAATCAAGATCGACTTATGTTTTTCCATTTCCTTACCCTTTTTTGGGCAATAGGAGAAGTCTTTACTGAGTAAAGGGCTGTCACATTTATCTTGTATTGTTTAATATTGATAGGAGAAAGAATCCCTCTGGAATGTAAATTATTTATTCACCCATAGGGTAAGTTATTTATTTATTTATTAAAAAAAAATTAAGTCAAACGCAAACATCCACAATTGCCACCCTTTATGGGGACTTGAACACTTGGAAAGTTCAAGTTAGTATACTCAATTATGCTTTTGGAATTCTTTACCACTGAATGCCCCATAATGTGAGACAAATGGAATGGATCGTACTTATGGACAACGATTTATACCGTGGAAATCACATTTAATGAATGCTGGATGACAGTGATCGTTTAGAACCCACTTCTGTCAAAATATTTCTCTTCATTCTTCCTTTTTTCTTACATGTTCAAAAACATGTTCCATTTGGAAAAGACTTTTCAATAATAAATTCTAAAATGGAATATTCAAGAACCTCGCAAGACTGGAGAAGCAGAAATACATGACAATATTAAGCATCTTCCTAGGAAATCTTCCTCATAATTACCCTTTTGTCCATTGCAATTGAACTAATACCTGCTGCCAAATCTCTCTCAATTTAGAGTGTTCATGAACCAATTTATGGAGTCCTGTTGGACCCAGTAATCAGTTATGTCAAGTTCAATCTTTTGGCATATCCAGATTTCTAACTTCTTCAAGGATGGGTAAACCAATATATGTTAGGACTATATTTATACATAGTTGGCAGACAAGAACTAGGTTGCTGAATTAAAAATTCCTAAAATTATGTTCCTACCTGATTTATATCTCATTGAATTATTGATTCATGTATATAGAAAATATAATAATAAAAGAAAAGAATACAGTTACCAAGTTCTCAGAACCAACTTGTTAAGCAGTCTGGGTGAGATTGGGAAGTAAGATAAAGTACATAAACAATGTCAGGATTTACCTATTCCTTTTGGAATTTATGAAACTGGTTACATTTACAAGCTTGCATGGTTCAGAGTTACAACTTAAGTCATCTGGTTGTTTGCATTTTCACTTTTCTGTAATCTGTCTCACTAGAAGATGGCTTGTCTAAATGAATTCATAAGTTTCCATCATCAGATCACAAGTTATGTGATTTACTTACCCCCACAAATCTCTCTCTCTCTCTCTCTCTCTCTCGCTTGGTAGTGTTTAATTAATTTGCTTTAACCCCCTTAGTTTTTTGCTAAAAATTGGTTATGTTTGGATAATTATTATGAACAACCACTGCCATAAGCCTAATAACAAATATAAATACAACATTGTGTTAGTGGGAATTTCTACATTGGAAAGAATGTCGTGTGTATCATTTGAACAAAAAAAAAAAAAAAAAACAGAAAGAGTCCATATTTTGATCCTTACAATGTTGGTTTTTCTATGGTTTTAGTACCTAAAAAGCACTGACCTTGCTCTACATTTAACAGGATGACGAGGCAGATGAATCAACAACCATTCCAGGTTCTTCATTTTATGTAATTACAATATTTTGGAACATATTTATCTCTGTTCTACTTCTCTGCCCACAGTATCAAATAAACTTAAATTGTTTACTTTTGAGTGGTCGAGTTAATGCATCGGATTTTGATCCAAATCTGATCCAATAATCCTGATTTTGGTAAAGGAAGTCTGATCTGATAAACCGATAATGGTCCAAATGCAATAGGTTTTTTAACTAATGTATTCAACATGGATTAGATCCAGTCTGAAAACAATCTGAGCTAATAAGATTACTACTACTACTATCTGTTGTAGTGCAACTGTTAGTATGTCATATTTAAGAGGCAAGTTATAGTTTCCCTTGTTTTAGTATTCAATCTTGAGTAGCCATTTCTTTTCTCTTCGATCTCAGCAAGCTTGTTACTGCCAACCATGTAAAATCAAGCGTAAACACTTGGCCTCCCTGTATTTGATTTCTCATTTTCTCACTGCTCTCTTGCTCTATCCTTCTCTCAGGCTTGTTTCCTTCTTTCACATTCCAACTTTTTTCTCTCTCTACAACTCTCTCATCTCCCATATTTTATCCCTTCTTGTTCTTTTACTCTTTCCCCTTTTTCAGGCTTGCTTCCCTCCTTAGTATTCTTTCATCTTTTTCTCTCCTTGAAGCTATAACTAAAAACATTTCTATGTTTTTTAAAAAAATTCTATGTTCTTAAGAATCTTAACACTAATTTCCTCTATTGGAAGCTGAAAAAATGGTTCCCCTATTTTAGATTTGTTGAAAAGCTGTCTAGTATGACTTGAATTATTTGGTTGAAGCATTGATGATGAAATTATGTATATGTATGTATATATTGTCTTCTATTCTTTTTTTCTTTTTCTTTTTTTTTCTTCCTACGTTTCTCATATACTGCTTTCTTAGATTTGACCAGATTAGTGAATGAGACATTCGTTAGTTATAAATTTGGATTTCAGATCAGATCTGATCGGATTAATGTTTTCCTTTATGGATCAGATTAGAATAAAACATATATATTCCGATTCAATCTGTAAACAGGCCTATTTTGGGACTTTTCTTTGTTGGGTTTCCAAATTTTGGACAATGAATACCCTGTCAACATAAGCTTTTGCCAAACTTTTATTGCAGTTCGGTTGGCTTTAATTTTCTCACATACGGAAAAATATCCAGATGAACCACCGCTTCTGAATGTGAAAAGGTAAGTGAATACATCTTTCTCGTGCACACCCTTACTCAAATGTGGCATTTTTCCTATTATCGTAAAATTTCTCTCTTTCTGTTGGTAGAGAAGATACCAACAGATATGCTCAACTTCTATACTACAACTTTTCAAACACTTAATTAGTACTATACTAATAACAAAAACAGAATAGCATTTTTGACATTGCCAAAATGTTATGAGTCCCCAATTTCAATGGATCCCGGCTTGCATCTTAATGCCTCTTCTGATGTTTACGAGCTGTATCCTCAATTTTGTATCAACCAAGTATAAAGCACCCATCATAGATATTTTAAATAAATTATTATTAAAATAAAACGCTATTTCCCCATATAAATAATGATGTTTTATTAAATTAAATGCTGGTAGGTCCGGCATGTCAAGCAGGACGAAGAATCGATCGATCTCATCTGTTTTATTGTCCTATATAGCTTGGGATTTGTGGGCCATCCTGTTTTCCTTTGTGGGTGTTACTTGGTGTTGGCTAGATCAAATTCTGATGTATTCTTAGGGTCGTGAATTAAGTTGAATTTGACAGAGGAACAACTGTTTGAAGAAATTTGTTGTACCAAAACATTTCCCTTAGTTTAAATTTGTGTTTTTAAGGAAATTTGTTGCATTTATAGAAGAAAAATAAGAAGGTGATAATGAAGATGTTATAGCGAGTAGCTAAGGATATTTATCAAAAGCAAAGGTAAAGGCCACTGATGTGCAGATTTTTGAGGCAGTGTTCTTCCTTCTCTTCTTTTCTCTTCGCCCAACTCCCTCTCTCTCTGGGTGCCAGCAAATTAGGACCACTGATCTAAGTTACAGATTTGAATACCTCACTCCTTTCAATTCAATTTTACCCTTAAATTTATTGATGGTACATAGTTATAAACAGCCAGCACCCTTTCTATTTGTTTGTGAATTTCTATTTGGTTTTTAGGTGCAAAATAGAAATTTTAAATATTTATTTAAATCTAGGATGCTTTTTATGATATTGTCTTATTTGACTAGAGCATTGATAAGTGATAGTTATGTCTACGAGATATAATTTGAAATGTTTTTTGCTATGTAACCCTCATTGTGGTACTTTCCAGTTTAAAAGGAATTCAAGGTACAGATCTTAAGATTTTGAAAGAAAAGCTCGAGCAAGAGGTAATTTTTAAGTATGTTTTGCTTTAACTTACAGTTTACTTTTTCATCATATTTGAAGTTTTCAAAAATCTCCAGTTATCCACATTATTTGCAATGAAACAATTAATTATATAAGTTACTAGCAAGTAGTTCACTTTATTATTATTATTTTTTTTGATAACTAAAAGTGTATTAGAAAGCATTCAAAAGGGGAACGCATCCCAAGAGCTATACAAATACCGAACCCAAAAAAGGAGTCCTATGGACCCAAAGAACCCAAAAAGTCCACGATTTCATCTAAAGATATACAATTTTTCCCCATCACCCAACTAAAAAGAGAACTAATAATAGAAAACTTCAACGCCCCAATGTAGGATTCCTCCCCATCAAAAGATCTTCTATTCCGCTCTTTCCAAAGACTCCACCAAACACAGAGGGGGTCGCCCTCCAACAGTCACGAGCATAAACCCCCACCTTGTGACCCCTTCAAACTTCAATCAAATCCCTTGAAGTCCGGGGTATAACCCATTGGACGCCAAACAGATCAAAAATAAGACTCCAACAGTCATGAGCCACGGGGCAATGTAAAAGAAGGTGATCCACAGACTCTCCATCATTCTTACACAAACAACACTAGTTGACTGTGATTTGTCTTTTCTTTTTTAAACTGTACAGAGTCAAAATCTTGCCCCAAGCTGCAATCCAAAAAAAAAAGCCACCTTGAGAGGGGCCTTCGAATGCCAAACCATTTTCCACGGGAAACTGGAATCGTGAAACCCGAACAGACAGAGAAAAAAGAAACGAACCTAAAAGTACCCTGCGGAGAAGGCACCCAAATCAAGGAATCTGAACCAGTACCATCCACCACCTGTCTATACAAAAGGTCCAGCAAACTAGTCACGTCGTCCAACTCCCAATCCTGAAAGGATCGCTGGAATCGCACATCCAAAGTAAATCTACCGCTATCGAGTCGATAATAGTCAGCTACCAGAGCATGTCTATTAACAGCAATCCTAAACAACCTTGGGAACAAACAATACAATGGGCGATTCTCGCACCAAGTATCCTCCCAAAACCGAACTCTGGATCTAATATGCTTTGAGAACTCATCCCATTCCTTCCGAATGAATTTCCACACCCCTACGCCAACAGCAGATCTGACCAACCTAGATGACCATCCCCCTCTCTCCTCCCCAAAGCAACACGAAATAACCCTCCTCCATAACCTATGCCTTTCGCTATCAAATCTCTATAACCACTTGCCTAGGAGCGCTCTGTTGAAAGGAGCCAACCTCCTAATCCCAATACCGCCCAACTGAAAAGGCTGGCAAACCTACTCCCACTGGACAAGATGAAACTTAAACTCCTCCCCCTGGCCCAGAAAAAGTTCCGTTGAAGCATCTCGAGTCTTCCAACAATAGAGGAAGGGATCTGGAAAAGAAAAAGATAATAAGTTGACAATGTACTCTTCACCAAATTAACTTTCCCGCCCTTTAAAAGATATTGCTTTTTCTACACAGCCAACCTTCTCTCGAAACGTTGTATCACCGGGTCCCAACTTCCCACCATCCTTGACGAATCACCCAACGGCAAGCCCAAATAAGAAATAGGGAAGGAGTTCGTCCCACACCCGAAAACCGCCGCCAGAGAAACCACCTCCTGAACCTCCCCACAGGAACAAGCACACTCTTACCCACGTTAACTTTCAAACCTGAAACTACCATCTCAAATATCTCAGTTGGGACACATCTACCTCACAAAAAACCAGAGTGTCTTCCGCGAAAAGCAAGTGAGAGACCTCCATCTGCTAAACTGAATCTGAACCCATCTTGAAACCCCTGATAAATTCCAAATCCGCAGCCCTGCTCATCAACCTACAAAGAGCCTCCATAACAATAATGAACAGGAAGGGGGAAAGGGGATCCCCTTGCCTCAAACCACGAGAACTGCCTAAAAACCCGGATGGAGACCCATTCACCAACACAGAAAATCTGGCAAAGGAAACACACACCTCGATTTCATTAAAGGTACTCAAGAGGGGAGTGCTCCCAGAAGAATATATATTATGGGACATCATGGAGGTCCAAAGAATAAAAGTGGCTGGTGGTAGGGTGGTGGAACTTAAAAAGAAGAAATCAGTGATTTAATAAAATGCTTTACAAAATTAAAACTACATATGGGACTTTAAACTCTTAGAAATCTCAAGAACTGAAAGACATTTGGAAATGCGATTGATATGGGAGGGGGGTGTATTGTTTGGGGAAGAGTAAGAACAACCTGCTGTCCAGTTTTCTTTCACCTTGAGCCTAAGTGGGTTTCTTAAATACTGAAATGTGGTACCTCTTTACAGATTTTAAGAGCAATGAGAACATTAGTTTAGTTGGTAAACATCTCCGATGTTTGTACAATAAAATTGTTATCCAACTTAAATAATAATGTGAAGTTGAGTCATGCAGTTTTATATAAATACTTGTATCTTCAGGCATCTGAGAATCTTGGTATGGCTATGGTCTACACTCTAGTTACGTCAGCTAAGGAGTGGCTATCTGAAAGATTTGCAGAAGATGCTGGTGATGAGAACACCGAAGAAGCAGTGGCAACAAAAGATGATGTATGGCTGCTCCTCCCATCTATGACATTCACTCACTGCTTATTAATAATATACTCTCTTTTTTTCTTTTCTTTTTTCCTGTTACTTGGCAATATGCTCTGAATTCAAAATAGATATTTGTTGCCTTTGATCATACCCCACACTACCCTGTGCTTCCAAGACCCCTGAAATTTTGGTTACTCTGATATGTGTGAGATCTGTTATTATAATATGGTTCATGTATATAATTTTTCCATACTAATAAGAGTTATTTGTGGGATGTTAGATGTTGCCAATCTTCTCATGCACCTTTTCTAGCCAGCTGGCTTTTAGCTGTTTTAGTTAATTATATGAAATAAATGTAGGGGCCCGTTAGGTAGGGAGAGAGTGGGACGAAAAGGAGAGATGTGGACAGAATTTCAGTCGTTTGGAAGGAGGAAGGGGAAAGAAAAGGAAGCAGGGGAATGTTCCCTCTGGACCCACCAAATCCTTTTCACACAGCCGCACACACCTACACACACAGACACATACACCACAAGAGAGTGAGAGTGAGAGAGTAAGAGTAACCTTCCCCTTCTAGTTGACGGTATAGTTGTAAAATCAAGCAACTCTTTCTTTCCTTCCTCTTTTCTGCCCTGCTCAATCAAAAAGGAGGAGGATAAGATAGCTTCCTTTCCTTATGGATACACCTTTTCATCCTTCATAGTATCCCTTAGTAATCTTTCATCCCTCATGCCTTAGGGAGCATAAAACATGTTTTGTTATATCATAGTAACAAAACAGCTGTTCTGTTCAAAAAGATGAACTTTGTGCCATTTAGTTGCAAACAATACCCATACAGGCAAACATATGTGCACTCTCACATGCGTACATGTAAGCATTTATTAGGCCAGAATGCTTTATGGTACAGAATAGTCTAGAAATGACATGTTTATATATGGAGAAGATGAATATAAATGTTGAGATGATGAGTGATGAATGATGAATGATGAGACAGGGAATTCCAATGTATGTATTTATGAGAAGTTGAGGATTGAGAAAATAGAAAACAAGATGAGAAAATTGGCAAGATTGTTTGGATTATGCTCAACAAGAAAGGAAACATTTAAGGAGCTTAATCAGGAATGCTTAGCTACATAACAGGATGAACTTTGATGTAGGAAATGAATGAAATCGTGGAGACTGGAAATTGAAGACACAACGAGATTTTAGATGGGTTGGTCGTGCACAACAAATACCAATGTTTACATCAATAAGTAGGATTGATATGGTCTGGTTAATTTACAATGTTGGTTGCTAGGAAGCCCGGACCCGCCTAAAAGGGCAGAGAATCCGTGTTGGATGCTTGTCGGACACACTAAAAAATTTGTATGATTTTTTTAATTTTTTTTTTTTGTAAATATCTGGAGACAGCACAGATACACCATGAATGCCTGTCCGACATCCGTGTCCCATTTTTGGGTTTTTATTTTATTTTATATGCAATGCATTCTTGGGGGTTTCTTAGAAAATTTTAGAAAGAAAGTTGGGTTGAAGCGTAAATATGAGGAGTGGTTTAGTAACTTTTAGTAATATGATGGTCATTACATAATTACTTAAAAGTTATAATTTTATAAAACAATCATATATTTTTGCTTATATTATTTTAGTTTAAAGGTTCAAAATCTTGCACGATCATCTTTGACAATATCTTGTTCTCCCGCGGACCAAGCTTCGCTGCCGGTGGATGGTCTCTCTCTCTCTCTCCTCTTTTCTCTCTCTTCTTCTTAGTCCTCCTCTTTTCTTCCTCCTCCTCTACAAACCCTAGATAATTCTTTTTTCCTTGCACAACAAAATTCTTTTGTCTCTTTTTCCTTTTTCCTCTTGTTTCCGTGAACTATTTCTCTTCTATGGATTCTAACCTTTATTTTTAACTAAGCCATAATTTTTTTGTAACAAAACCCTAATCCTTCCTTGTTTTTTTTTTTTTTTTTTTTCCTTTCTTAACCATCTTGCCGTCATTCAGAAAATCTTGTCGAACATCATCAAAGCCATCGTGGGAAGTGGCTGAACTTTTATAGGCTTGTGATAGTTATCAATTCATATTTATGAAAAAAAAAGATAGTTATCAATTCATTAGTATTTTCTCTTGGTCTTCGTGCACATACTCTTTCTAATGCATCGAGATATGTATTTTTCTTTCACAAACTTGCATCTCTTTTAGCTTTTCATTTAAATCGGGCCACCTATTTTATTTTATTTTTTATAATTATATATATGATGCAAGGTGTGTATATTACTCCTTCAATCCCAAACATGCATTTTACGTAATTTTTGGACTAAGTTCGTCTGATATTGTCCAATGGTTGCTTCTAATTGACTCAAAATACTTTCCTTAGTGATTAAAGATTCTGTTGGACGAGAGATGTATGTTTGAGGAATCATTAACATGTTTCTATTCCTTTTTAGATCAAAAGAAAATAGAAAACTACCAATTTGCAGTTATATTGTTCCACCAACCCATAATTTTCTGCCACAACTTTCGATTCTATGTTCGTGAGATGATAAAAAAAAGGTATATACATTTGAGAGCTGCTAAATGCAATTGTTTCAACCTAACTGATTGGTTTCTCTTATTAATTGGAATTTTCTTCTACTTTCTAGACATATCTATTTATTTTCTTTTTTAGTTTTATAGAGTAATCTTGCTTTAGGGGCTAATTCTTTTTCTTGAATAGTTTGTAAGCATTCTTTTTAGTTAATGTGATCTTGTTTTTGCTTGAGTAGTTTACTCTCTTCCTTGAGATGAGTTGTATTTTGCCAATTTTTAGCTTTATGATATCAGAGTTTTAAAAGTTTATTATTATTCTTTGGATAGAGAGTTGATTCATTGAACTGTGCAAGTGTGCAGCGAAATTAATACATTTATATTCCTATGTTTTTTCCCCCTTGACAACTTAATTTCCAAGTGATGTGGTTGCGGTTTCAGTCAATTGAAATTGTCATTGCAGAATTAATAAATTCACATTAACAATCCTTTTAACCAATTTGGGTTGTTTTATTTGAATTTTTTCTTTTTTTTATCTTGTGAGTAATTTAGAAGATATTATGGATGAGAAGATCCAAATGTGTCTAGCATGTTTAAAAAAACAATTAATAACTCGTGCGCATATCTTTTTCCTGAAATTTTAGTGGTTCAGTGATGGTCTTGCTCCTTGTCTCAGCTGATCTTTGGCTACAGCAAGTTGTAGCTTGTAGTATCATTACATTTCTAGTAAAGGGTGTTGAAGTGTTACATTTTGCCTTCATCCAATTCCTCTATTTCCTGGGATTCGGACTGAACTTAATAATGAGTATCACTTTGACATCCCCCGACCAGTTTTTCTCTTTCTTTCACTTTTATGGCTAACTATCATTGCACCTCAATGATTTCACATATTTACCTTTTATTCTTCTTGTTCTTATTGGGCGATGGTTCATATTTTGATTTTAGATAATCATACCCCATGGAGAACCAGTTACTCTTGATACATTTCTTGCTTGGAGAGAGAGGTTTGAAGCAGAGTTAGCACTGGAAAGAGCCAAGTAAGTTTCATAAATAGCAAGTTTTTCTTTTTGTTTCTTTTCTTTTCTCTTCTTTTTTAAGCTGAGGTTGATTTTCCTAATCAGCAGGCAATTTTGTCTCAGCAAAGCATATAAAATTTAACTGATGATTAGTGTTATCAAATAGAAGCACATGACAGCTAATTGGAATGACAGTCAAATTCCATTTGAAGTGAAAGCAGTTTATTATGAAAAAAAGTCCTCCCTTATACAGGCAGAAATTTAGGAAACTTTTGCTCCTCAAAGCAAGAAAGTACCTCCATGATGCTAACCAATTAAATGACCATGTATTTATGAGCCTCACATCTGTGGACTGTGTCCTAAAATGCAGTGTGTCGGAAGGTTAGTAGGCGGATGTGAGCGCCCGCACACACAGAAAACTCAGAGAGAGAGAGAGAGAGATCATAGAGGATTTCACTGCATCAGTTCATGATGGATTGTCAGGAACCTCTTGTGGCACCTCAATGAGAACAGAGAGTTGTGGAAGTGCATACCAAGATCCACTCCTCTGAAATGCAATACTTTTATTATCTTTCTTAATGAAAGCAAAAACGTCTCTCTCTCTCTCTCACACACACACACACACACGCGCGCGCGCGCGCACAGTGCTTGTCATGTCCCTCTTCCTGTTCATTGTTTTAAGTACTTGCCATGCCTGAACTGTTAATAATGACCTTTCCATATATGGAAGTGTATTCATGGTCGAAAAGTGCTAAAATGGATGTTCCTATTTTTCCTTGCTATGAAGTGCTAAAATGGAATGTTCCATTTTTACGCATTTTATGGTGGTTCAATTATTCTGGATAGTTTACATGATTAAAGGTATTTATTCAGCGAGGAAAGCAGGAAAAAGGAAAAGATCAATATTCAACCTCAACCTTGATTCTTCAACATTCTATTCTTTCAATTGATGTCTTGAGCGTACTTGATAGTAAGAAAGCAAGCTACCTTTTATTTATTTGCTTTCATGACGAGTGACCATGATTAACTTTCAGGCTAATGCCCGAATCAGCACTTGCAGTGCCCAAGGAAAAGAAGCTCACAGGCAGACAGTGGTTTGAAAGCGGAAGAGCTGCTGCGGTACTTCATTCTTCTGAACTGTTGCTACTTGATATATTGTGGTTGTATGAAATGTATAGATCCTGTCACATGTTCTAGATTTTGCAAAAAATTGACCATGGCACAATGCATGCAAGCAATGAAGTGCTCAAATATGAACATGGAAAGAGCGATGTATACTTAATTCGTTGATGAAGAGAATTTAATTCCTGAAAAGAAAGGAGAGAGAGAGAGAGACTCTATGCGTGCGCCCGCATGTGTGTGAGAGAGTATTTTAAATTCTAGTAAAGAATGCTAAATTAAAAAGTGTCGTCTCTCTCCTGCAGAAAGGTGCAGTATCGATCAACAAAGGATCCGATGAGGAAGACGAGGAAGACATCGACTTTGATGATGATGACTTCGAAGGTAATTCTCACGATGAGCCCACTGATTTGTTGTGTGTGTGGTGTGGGTGGTTTGAATCTGAAAAAAAAACTAATTTCTTTTCTATGCAATGACACAGATGATGAAGAAGAAGATATGCTCGAGCATTATTTGGCTGAGAAATCGGACACATCCTCTCATTCTTCAAAGAGAGCAAATTAAAGGAAATTTCATGTTGTAATTTGAAAATGTTGAGATTTTCTTAGGTGCAACACATGGGATGAGAAATATGTCATCATTTTAGTGCCCTTGTCACTAGTATTTTTTTAGCCTGCATTATGTTTTGAGAGGGAAAACACAGATTTTGAGAGAAGCAATGAGAGCAATTGGTTTTATGGGTTGATAATTTCAGTGTATTATTTTTCTGTTCTCAATATATATAGGAGTTATTTGCAGAGAATAGAACCAGACATTGCAAGTACTTTTTATGAATCTGGTTCCCAATCTTATGACAAACTATCCAGCTTGAGTTTGGATCATTTATTTTTGAAGTAGTCTTGATTGCCCTTTTACTTGTTTACTTGCTTAAGTTCTGTTTTTGGGTAAATACAGAAGGTTTTTATTTTATTTTATTTTATTTATATTATTATATATTTTACTTGTTCAACTTAACCTTATGTAGGATTCCTTTTCTACTTTTCTTCCATTCAGTTGATTTAAACTCCTCCCAATATTTCTCATCAAGCAAAAAATGAAGTTGTACAGAGTTCTAGGGCTATCCGATAGAATCACACTCATCGGTCTGATAATCATTTTTCTGAATGTGTGTGTGTGGGTGTATATATATTTGTCAACGATGGTGGTATCAGGCCTCTTAAAACATGTAATAATTTAGTACCAGACATATGCAATATTACTAGACACATGCAGTCTCCGTGTCCTACATGCATAGGAAAATTCCTTAAAAGTGCTTCCAGAAGATTCGAACTCTTAACTTATCAGTGAGATGAGAAAATTCCTTGAAGGTGCCTCCAGAGGATTCGAACTCCTGACTTTTTCAAGCAGTAAGGTGAGAATCTTTATCGAGAGGTCTTTTAAATAGAAATGAATAGATAAAAAGAGAATTCATCAGTTGATTCAATTTCTATATAATTAAGACAAGAATGGTGTCGATTATGATGATGTTGTGGTGTCTTCGGTATACTGCTGGTAACATGGAATCATAATTAAGCATTATAATGTCTAAGGAATGAAAGCAATAATCACTACTAGCAGTGATGAGGTCAATGGCCCAAGTTGAGTGATATACTGGTCCATATGCTCCCCATCCTATATGTGGGCCACAATACTGGTCCATGTGCTCCCCATCCTCGATGTGGGCCACAAAAAGCCCACCTTGATTATTACCTATTTTGCAATTGGATGGTAATAATACTGTTGGATAACAAATAACATACCACTGAGCTAGGAAGCATACTATACATATGGCAAATTTTTTAAAAAAATAAGATATGCGTAGAACGGGATACTACTGAACAACTCGAACTCAGCTCATTACAAATTCATCCATGTTCGATTTGATTAGGTGTAGCATTTTTATGCCCGTTTATTATATTAGTCGAAATTTTGACTTGTTAAGATCCATAAACAAGATTTTTCAACAAATTTTGACAAATTCGTAAAAAGTGATAATTACTCCTTACATTGAGGAGTCAAAATGAGTAGGGCTCAAACATTTATTTCTAGACTCATTTACAACACCACCCACTAACCAATGGGATGGTCAAACCTTCTCCATTGCACATCACATCACTTGCCAGTTTCAGCTCATAAACTTTTAAATCACTGCTCAAGTCTCCCCCTGTTTGGATGCCAAGAAAATTAGTGGCAAACCCAATTTAGCCCAGTAGTAGTTGCGTGGAGGACCACTGGTTTACGCTACTATTGCAATGTATTACAATACAACTTCTCTTCGTTGATAAAGACCACATTAATTAGATGAGAAAGAAAGTCACTACTCACTAGTGACTTTCAAATTTCCGTTTTTCAAAAAAGTAATGCTATCAGAGAGAAATTTTAGGACCGCAAACTCTACAACTCTAGTCTTTCTAAGATAAATATACAAAGGGACACAGAGTGTATTAATGTCGTCAAATGTCTTAAGGTGAGAATAATATGTATCCCATACAAATACATTATGGGGTTAAATGCTTCAGTTGTTTAGTTCGAAAATATTTTAAATGGTTTATTAATCTCGGTCAATGATCATTGACACACGCAAATAATTATTAAAAATATATAAATTTTTATTTCCAGCACAATTACTTTCGCATCTAAGAGCAACTGGTATGGATAGCTTTTTGCTAGCAAATGAGTCAGTATTGCTAGCCTTTGAATTGGTATAATGCTAGCAATTTGTGAAACCCAGGAGGAGGATAGCAAAGTACATCGCAACTGCTAACAATAGCATTGTGAGCCAAACACTGCAGAACGGCTCTAATTTATTTTATATATTTTTTTGGCCCACGACTGCTCGGCTATTTTTTTTGGTTTTTTTCTTTACTATTTCTTTTTATATGTAATTTATTTTTATTGTAAAAAATATATTAATTTAAATGTATTAAAAGAAGTATTCTATTCAAATATATAATAAAAAAATTTTCAAGTGGTTGAAAAAGTAACCGTTTTAAAAAATACAAACAAAAATAATAAAATAAGAAATATCAATTAATCCATACCGTGACTAAAAGATAGCAATATATAATAAAAAAAAAAATTCAAGTGGTTGAAAAAGTAACCGTTTTAAAAAATACAAGCAAACAAAAAAATAAATACGTTTTTAATTTTTTTTACTCAAAAAATATTAAATGTATTAAAAAAGTACAATAAAAAATAATAAAATAATAAATATTAACTAACCCATAACAATATATAATTACTAACCACGTTAACACAATTGCTGATGTGACTAACAACTTAACAAAACTTTGCTAACATGTATTACTAGCACTATACACTTGCCCTTAAAATGATTCGCCCAAAACTAATGATAGGGTTTCTCGTCAAAATAAATAAATAAAAATTTAAAATTTGTTCGGCAAACGAGAGGAATGCCAATATGACCGACAGAAAGACTCAGTTTTGCCATAGATGGGCAATGCTACACAGTGCATCAATTCATCGGTCACCATCCAATTTAACCCGCCAATTGACTCTCCCAAATGTGGGGTCCACAATGACCTTCAGAACACACAACCCCATGTGGGCCCAATATCTTGCATTTGGGCATCAGTGGACTAAGCAGCCCCACACATGTGGTTGGTTGAGATGGAAATTGTAGAGTGTACAGAGTTGTCCTTTTAAATGCACAACATGTTGTATGGGTGGCCCGTGAAATGAGAGGGGTAGAGAGGGCAATTGATGATTCAACTCATCCAGCTGAGACTTTTCACATCAATTGAATGAAAACAGATTTAATTTAGCAAAACCAACCACTACTTCAATTTAGCTACTATTGCTGTTCAACATTTGAATGGTGAGTATAAATTGAAAACCACCACTCGCTCAATGGCCTTCAAAATTAACATAATTTTCTCCTACCATTCCCTTCCTTAGCAGTGTCACTAAAACATTTTTGTCTTCAAGTCCCTAATTTCACTATAATTCAAGACTAAATTCATGCTTTTACTAGGTCGGAAATCAAACAGAGAAATAGAGAGAAGAGAGGAAATGAACTGTCTAGCCCTTGAAAGGCAATATAGGAAGAACAAAATTGGACCATCTTAACTTAGGGAGCGAATTCTCTGACGTCACTTTGCCTGCTGTTTCATACGGTGCATAATATTACCTATATTTGGCCACGTTCTTATTTGTTCAAGTGTCAGACCGCGTTTGGATGCGATAATTACACAAAATAGCTTATTTTCTCACCACAATTTTCATCTTCAAAACAATGTATTCACATAGTACCGACTAACTAATATCACACATAAATCTAGTCCAAAAAATCAAAAATACCGTTCGACGCCACCAGACATCAACTGAAAGTCCCCAACCTGTCGACATGTAGTCACCTCACATCAACTGAATCCTATATATATGATGAAAAAAAAACCACCAACCACCTTTACCATCAAAAGAAAGTAGTCACATAATGCTAAATAATTAATGCTACACATAAATCTAGTCCAAAAATTAGAGATACCAGTTAACACTTAAGGACCAAATGTCAATTGAAAACCCCCCAACTAGTTGACAAGTAACCATTTCACGTCGACCTAATACATGAAATTAAAAAAAAAAAAAAAAAATACTATGACAATTTTCATTATTTTGCTAAACATTTAGTATTTTGTAAACATACAATAATCTATATGTAGCAAAATAATGAAAAGAGTCTTAACTTTTTTTTTTTTCCAAGTATTAATAAATAATACATTTAGTTATTCTCTCAAGTGAACCATGTAGTTCCTTTATAAAGTTCTTATTACTTTCGTACCAAAGTGTAATAAAAAAAACCTGCCAAAGTTTGGGGATTAATTATTATTTGCCCACCCACTATCTTCACCCTCAAAAAATACCTAATAACTAATAACTAATGTTAGGTATCAATGAAACTCAATTCACTTTTGCAAATTACCGCATCCAATCAAATGCAGTCTCAAATCCTGTTAATCAATGAAATGAATAACGTGACCAAATATATGCCAAGTAAAACAAACCTCAACAAACTGTAGGGGAAGCTCATTGCAGAGGATTCATGCTCCTTAACTTGTAGATTTTAACAGCTTTCCCCCTTTTATCCAAAATTGTCTTAGCTTCATAAAGATAAATATATATAAACTTTATACAAAAAGTTATATTGACATGGTAAAGCTATCATATGAATTCCAACAAAGACATCCTTGCAAATGCACATAAACTTCCAATATTGTCCTCAGCAGCATGTTAAAACATTTACCCATTTTTTTTTTTTTTTTGAGAAGAGACTTGTACTATCTAAACTAATGATCATTCTTGTGCCGAAGGAGAAAGAAAAACAAAAAACTAATGATCATCGGTAAATAGACTTAGCCTTGTGTTAAGAGCCAGACATACATTATGTATCAATATAAACCAATAAACATAAAGAAATAGCCATTATAATAAGAAAATCAAATCTCTGTACAGTCCCAAAAAAAAAAAGACAACATCTTGGTAACAATCATTTTTTTTTTTTTTTCCCAGAACACATACAAACAAACACCAAACAAAATAAAACTCAACAAAACCTAATGTTTAGCAGCCTTTGTGAGGGGATGTCACCTTCTTGTTATCAGAAAGTACTAAAATACGCCTGAAAGTATTCATGCACACATCTCTCTGCACCACCATAGACCATAGTCTCAACTATATGATAATAAGATTTCTCTCAATCAGCACCATTACTCCAACAAAGATAATATCCAAATTATCTCTCTTTATATATATATATATATATATATATATAATGAATGATAGAACGTCCAAAAGTCGAACAACACCCTGTGTAGTCCGAAAGTGGGACAACTCCGAATGGGGATGATGGACTATAAATGGTTTTCATATATATATATATATATACTATAAAGTTTTCGTTTTTGTTACTGAAAGCTAGAACCTGGTGTGTAAATGGCAAGGTCAGGCCACCCATTGTCACCACCCCAACAGCTGGAATCTCCACCACTCTGAACACCCAAAAAACCCTCCGCATTGTGAGCACTCTGCAGTTCCATTGACAGGTCCGGCATCAAACTCGACCCCGAACTCGAATTCGGGTTCTCTGCAAAATCACCCAGCTTCAACCCATTCGGATTCAAACCCTCCATCAAATTCCCATTCGACGCCAGAAGCGAGCTGAAACTCCCCGCCACGTCGAACATTGGACGGTCCTGATTCGGCACCACCACCAAAGACTCCGATTTTGGAACACCGTGGGACGTTATTGAAGATGATGACACCGATGATGAGGACGACGACGAAGAGCGCTTCGGGTTCGAAGACCGCTTCGTGTTCTTCCGACTAGCACCGCCGACGGGGATGTTCCGGAGAGAGCCTCCTTTGGTCCAGTACCTCTTGCAGTTCTTGCAGAAATGGCGGGGCTGAGAGAGGTTGTAGTTGTTATAGTAACAGAACTTGGTGTTTGGTGAGCCACAGCGCGGGCATTTCAAGTGCTCTTCTTCAGGAAATTGCGGTGGTTTGATCTGTTGATACGTTGATGGGTCTTGCATTGTTTTGGCTTCTTTTGGTGATTTGTTGAGTTTATTAGGAGATCTGAAATCAAAAAAATATGTCAGAACTTGGAGGTTTGGCAGATGAAAAAATCAGAGTTTGTGGTTTGTATAGATGATTTGATGAACTGGGTTTGTTTTAATTGAGAGATTGATTGAGTTTATGAACAGCAAAAAATTGAAGTTAGGAATATATGAAATGGGTATTGCACTTTTTGAACCAAAATGACCAGAACTTCAAGGATTTGAAGTAAAAAAATGAAGGACTAGCTTTGGAATCAAATTTGATGAATTGGGTTTGTTTTAAAAAGAGATTGATTGAGTTTATGATAGAAATCGATCGAACTTTTAGAGATCTGAAATGGGCTTTGAGGGATTTGGTTAGACGATGGCCATTGAAGCTGTGAAAGTGAAGGAAAAGCCAAAGAGAGAGAGAAAAGAGGAGACAGAGGTAAGAAAACTGGGTTTGAGCACAGTAGAGTGTTTGTCTTGTGGAGGAAAATGTCCAAATTTCAAAGCTTTGAACTTGAATTCTGGGCGTTGGAACAAAACAGAGAAGTCAAAAACTACTACTATATGTCAGATGAGTTTGTCCATGATGAAACATCAAGAAAAAGTGAGAGAAGATAGGTTTGAAATCCTTGACGTGGATGTTCTATCATCAATTGTTGCCCGCCAAGGAGTGAGGACACACTTCATATGAGAGAGAGAGTTGTGTCTGAATACTCTCAGTTTCTCCACCTAAAAACCTTGGGTTGCCAAAGCTTATACACTATATATACAACAACGCGTTTGGATCATCTGCTTATACAATATATATATATATATATCAACGCGTTTTTGCTCCTATAGAAGTGCAGATGGTCCGGGTTCAGTTCCACCCATTTCAGTTTGAAATAGGAAGAACCCGAAGATAGTATAGTCACTATATTGATTATTGAAGTATAAGAAGTGACAAGTGACAACACATCGGGCAAGGCCAACAATTCTACCACGAAATAAATTATTTCGGACCATTGTCTATTGACTTGCTTATTGGGCCTGTAGTTGGGTTTGACCCGAAAGAAATAAACATTACTTCATACTTTACGTTCTTTATTAGTAATTTATTTTTCTTTTTTTACATATTTTAAATTAATTATTCTCTTTAAAAAATTAAAAATATCTTTTTTTTATATTTTCATTATTGTTCTTTATCTTTTAAAAAAAAATTCAAACTTTGTAACTATATTTAAATTAAAAAGGACAATTTGATAATTTTAAAAAGAGACAATGCATTAATTGTATTTCCCCTTAAAAATTAAAAAACTAAAAATGAACAATTAATAAGGGATAAAGGTTCTCAATTGAACTAACCCGCCATACTCACTATACATTTAATATTGTAAAAAATCAGTATGTATTTTTTTTAATATTATTATTTCAAAACGAGGTATTTCGTATTCGTATTGAATATCTTATAGAAAAGGATATGGGATTCAAACTTTAACCAATGACATTGATGTTTAAGTATTAAACAGTTGATGTGAGTCCGACAACAGCCCTCAAATTTGAATACGAGCTTGATTTTAAGTAGGTTACGTAACAAGTGAGCTATTGCTCATTTGGTGCATGTTCCTTCATTTTCTCAATCTTTAAAATCTTCTCAGAAAAAAGAAAAAAAAAAAAAAAAAAAAAATCTTTGAATCTTGGATTCAACAACTACTTGAAAACCAGGTACACCGAGAGAGGATGGTAGTCCTCCTAGGTGTACTTGCTGGATGATTGTAGAGACAACCAAGGATTATGTTACGTGGGGTTAGGCGTTTGATTGACGTCCAATCCATTCAACATTTTCAACTCACCACTACAAAACTGGTGATGGTGATGATGGTTTGGTTGTCTTCATGTGGGGAATTGGGCCCATTAAAACTGATGGGCCCACCTGAAATTGATCGGTCGTGTCACACCGCGTGCGACGCGGCAATGTTTGCGTGCCCCTTCCTCCTTTCCACTTCCGGATTGACTGAAAACTTCCCTCCCCTTTTCCCCGGATGGTTAGCATTGGGCTCGCAATTTTGAGAGAGATTTTCGAATCCCTTTGTCTCCTCTTTTTTGTCTCCAAACATGAGAGAGAGAAAACGTTATAGACTCATTCCATTCTCTATTTCATTAGACAAGCAACCAATGAAGCTGTGAACATTCATTTCTAGTGCACTTCCAGATGGTGAGAGACCCCACAATGGGGAGAATTGTCACTTGTGGGAACAATCTACTCTATACAACTTAAAAAGCATGCTTCTTTACATAAATCGTTTTCCTTTATAATCCCACGCTGTTCGACCAAATGATCCATAAACTCTAAAAAGCATCAGTCATGACTTGAATGATTGGCTCTTTTTTTTATCCTTGTAAGTTGCATATAAAAATAGAAATCATGTCACCATATTAACTGAACATTTCCGAGTCAGGCATTCGGTGGTAGACAACGCAAACACAGCGCATGGGTAACTCATCATTTCAGATCTAAAAAATCATGTTAGCTTTCTATTGGAGCTCTTACCAAACTTGCAAGGCATTAAACCGGATAGCTCAGTATCATTTTAGCAATGGTTATGCAGAAAACACAAATCAGTCAGCCACTGCCATTGAACTGCTTTTACAAAAAAAATACTTTAGTAAACTATAACAATACAAAAAAATATTTTTAAAAAAATTAAACTACAATAAAGCCAGTCTAAAGTCATCCTAAAAAAAAAGAAGAATAAAAATAACTTTCGACGGTACCATAGAAAATAAGCTTCATGTACTTCACGTTAGCAGCAGCTTCTTCCCAGCAAGATTTGTATACAACTACATTTACCTTGAAACTATTGGGCAATAATTGACATTGGTTTTGGTTGTAGGAGAGCTACAATCACATTCTACCCTGACTTCAACCCAACATGGTAAGGACAACAGAATTGCATATTTTCCTTTGAGAAGAAATGGTAAAAAAATATATATATAGTAATAAAAGAAAATGAGGGTGAATATCGAGCAGAGGGGCAGGAAGAAGAGCAAGTGTCCCACCCAAGAACGAAGAAGACGATTTGCTTCCACGTGGATTCTGTGACAACCAATCCTGAACCTTGAGATAATAAAATCGCATGCTATGGGTCTCTGAGGCACTTGAAATTTAAGAGAGATTAATTATGCCTGAACTTGCTGGCTGTTGAGAAAAGGAAACAAGCCTTCTTCAACAGCATCCCAAAAAAGTTTCTTCCTGCACCATCTTTATGCATAATACATGTACAGGCTGTTTGCAGCAGCACAGGCAATTGAGTTTTCAGTAGGGTGCCAAGCTAGATGGAGCAACTTTGTAGTGAAATCAAAAGAATTTCCATTTGCATCGACTGTTGGACTTTCTGATCCTATTAAGGACATCCCAACATGAAAAACAGATCAAAATAAAAAAGAAATCTAGAAGGCATATCAAAGTTTCACAATCACGAAGTGTTATAAAATGAATGAAGTGATAAACATAAAGGAAGAGAAAAAGAAATTACTTACCTCGTCTGACAACACGTGTTATACTGCTCAGGGATCTGGCAGGCCTCGAAGGGGTCGGAACTTGTCTCCTAATTGAGCATAACAAAATTTAACAAATATTCTATCATGAAATCAATTGTCTCATAATCAATATCTTTTAGGTAATTATACCTCATTGGATTTTTGCTTGCTTCCAAAGTAGTTGCTTCAGTACTGCCCACATCACAACCAAACACCCGGAATAGATTGCTAGAATCACAATAATTGCACATTTAGATTCATTTATGAAGCATAACATCAATAACAATAAATTGGTAAAATAATATATGTGTGTGCGTGCGTGTACAAACCTGTAAGAACCTGTTGCTATTCGCAGACCATCACCACTCAAGCAACATTCAAATTTGTCAAAGATGGAATCATTTTCATATAAATCACATAGCTGTAAACAATAGAGTACAGTATAATCAACTTTCTTATTCATCAGACCAGAGTTTAACTCAAGGGTTTGTCTGCAGATGCAAAATTCACCTTAGGTCTTAAGTACTCGTGAACCTGGAAGGTTGCAACTGGACCTGAATCCATATTAATGTCCCATAACTGAAATGAAGTAGAAGAGATTTAAGATTTAAGACTTAAGAGAGCAATCAAAAGCTAATATAGGTATTACCAGCAACAGAGTTTTTATATTCTAGAGTAATCTTCTTGGTGAAAAATACGAGTGAGCATAAAACCTCATGATATTGGGTGCTCCACATGTGACACCCTAAAAGAATTTTCTATATCATTCCAAGGGGAGTTATGTGAGGACATACGCAAAATATGTACTCAAACAAACATATATACATATATAATATGGCAAAATCGTAACTAGCCAGCATCCTAATAGTTTTTGGCCAATAACAGGATTCTACTAACAGGAATTTTTAAAACTGAGCCACGTCTCTAGGTGTTATTTTCTGAGAATAAATGCACCCGACCCTTGTATGCCCCCATATTTGACATGTGAATCTAAGTTCATATAACAGTATACCAAATCCGACAAGAGAACATTAAAGAATTCATCAATGACAGAGAGGTATAATTAAAAAAAAATACTTTCATTTATTTTATGACTGAATATAATAATATCCTAGGAAGGGGAAAAAAAAAGCTCCAGTAGGAGTGCATACGTTCTATATCAAAACTACAAAGACATGTTCTGCCAGGAGGCCGAAGTGCCAAACATAAAACAAGATTTCACCCTAGATATGCCTACATCCCATCCAGAGTTGACATCCCTTTTCCTCTATGCCCTCAATTCTGCCAGCATCATAGATAATTGAAAAACATTAATGCTATGTTAGAGAGCACCGAATCAGTGCCTTGGATTTGGAATTGGAGGAAATTTAGTTCAAAATTTGTACTAAATTTTCTCCAATCCAAAATCCAAGGCGCCGATTCGGTGCCACCAAACATAATTTAAATATCCCTTCCTCTATATTATACTGGATTAGACCTGCATTGATAGGGAATACTGCTATATGAACTTGAAATTGCCAATAAAAATTTGGGGCTTGTAATTCCCTATATACGCAATTTAGTCCTAAACTACTGATCCCACCAAGATAGAACTTAGGCCCCCATTACACCTCAACAGGGCAGGACAGCTAAGTGATTCAACTATAAAAAAAAACAAGGAAAACCAAAGTTAAAAGAACCAAGGCCCATATGTGGTCTAGTTGGTTGAGATGTCTACCAACGCACATTCTTGTTATCTCCAGAAGTTCCAAAATACACTTTCAAGTCTCCAATAATTCCATCTTTTAAAATTATATAGCATTTCCAAGTTAAGAAACTTGTCAGAGACGTCAAGCTTGAGCAAGAGCACCTGCTCTGACAAGTCAAAATAACATTGCACCACACATCAATTATAACAGCAGTGACATGGAGTGCATCACAAAATCCAAACTCCTTTCAAAATAAAAAAAGGCTAAACTCATTCCAAACTTAGATCCCTTTAGAGCGTGGACAGTTTATGTTCTACAGTTACACCTTTTTAATACAATCTTACTTATAAAAATAAAATAAAAAAATAGTATGTTCTACAGCCATAATGGTTACCCCATCCACAGATTTCTATAGAACATGAATTTTGAAAGGACTATTACCAGAGAAAAACTTGGGAAAGAATACGAAGACGAATTTCAACAAAATGTCAACTCGTAGTTTTTTCATTTCTTGTATGCTACATATCATATGCATATTCATTATACTATTTCAGGCTTTTCACCATCTTACAGTACAGGCAAGCCCAGAAATGGAGCCTGCATATCGTTGTTATCATGGCATAAGAGCCAAGAATACCACATCACATGCAGCAGTCTGGACTCCAGAGTTCACATATCTAGCAGTAATCAAATACCAAATACAAAGCTGAAGTTGATAGCAAATATAAAATCCAAACCTTAAGATTCATGTAATCACGACTAAGTATATATCTTCCCTCCTTTCCAAATTTAATATCTGAAATTGAGGCTATTATCTCAGTAAAAAACGACCTTGAAGCAGGTGCCTCTGGTTCCTCAAACCTGTATGCAAAGGACATCATTGTCTGATTAAGCATTTGAAAGTAATCTAGTGTACATAACGAGAACTCAATATAACAACGCTTCTTTATTTTTGGGTGGGGCAGGCAGGTGTTATCTCATTTCTTATGAGGCGGATACAGTACAGGAATAACTAAAGCAGGACAAAAGCCAAAAGAGCACTCACAATTTAGAATGTGTATCACACAAAGCAGATTGCCGCAAATCAATAAGACGGATTGACCCTTTCGAACTACTATATGCTAACGTGTTACAATGAGTAGGATGAAACTCTGCTGATGTTATCACCTCTGCAATGATAAATAAATTAATGTTTCAAGGCTCAAACATGTAGTCCAGTCAAACAAATAGGTCTACATCTAAAAACCCATGAATAACAAGTAAGACAAGCTTGTAAATCATATATTGAGGGGAAGTTCTGGAAACCCACAAGTAGAAAAACTGGTTGACATGATTTTTGAAGTTTCTAAGACAGCCCCTAACTGTCCTTGTATGAAAAGGAGAAAAACGTTTGATAGATATATTTACACACACACACACACACACACACACGGAAGTTTATGCTCCCATGAACAACCACAAGTAGATGCTTATCCGCTAAATGCTTCCATTATTAATAAAAGCAACCCAACATAAACGGAAAGAAGAAATAAATAAGAAAGATCATCAATCATTTGAAGTCCTAACCAAAATGCCAACTGTACCAGTTAGGTCCTCCATGTTTGCAGGCTTCACATCAACAATATTGAAACTTTGATTGCTAATTTCCAAGTTCCAAAGATTTATTCGCAGATCATCAGCCGATATAAAGGTTTCACCATCACTAAAAAATGAGAGATAGAGAGAGTCAGAAAAATTCAGCAAAAACCATATTACATATGAGAGACAGGCTAGATATCATTACTGCAGGCATGAAAAAGACCATGATGTTGGGGATAAAAGGGCTAGAATCACAAAGCAATCTTGGGAAAGAAGCGGAGAGAGAGGAACACGTAAAATTGTTTATTCAACCTGAGAAATAAATCGCTTGAGAAAAATGGTTTGAATGCATGGATTTATATAAGCCTCAGAAGCATGTATATAATCATATACATTATTTCCTTGCCAAGCTACATGAAATAGATTTTCGGAATTCCAAAGAAAAATTATTTCTAATTGCCCGAAGTGAGAAGCAAAAATATTCTCATAAAGACACTTCAAACCAAACCAAACAAAATACGACAGTAGTGGGGTCCTTAGCAAAGCCTTGGCTAGTTTGGAAGGTCCTTGATCTATTTACTGCAAGAGGACTATCCTAATCTCAAGGAATTACGGGAGTGGAGTTGATTGGCTGGACTTCTTGTTTGCAATGATGGAATGGAATAAGGGGACTTTGACGTGAGTTCCAAAGGTGTCCCATCTTGTCTTTAAGAGTGTGTATTCTCATTTTTGTGAAAAAGAAAATCCCTTAATATTGACAAAGTCTCTGTATTCTATTAAAGATGCGTCTTGGTTCAATCCTCCTCCCTTATTTTTCCTCTTTCGTAGAAGTTGACAATAAACTATGAATAGCAGTAGCCTAAGTAACAGAATCAATTAGAGCACAATTCCCTCAAGTGTGACTGACTCACCCAACGCCATAGCTAATATCACAGCTCCAATCATAGCACCCACTGCTACTGTTCGAGTCTTTGGCTTAAGCTGCAACAGATCAATCAAATACCTAAGGTTCGGTAAACCTGTCTATTTATTACTTGGTCGTCTATTTCGGAATGGACACATTGAAAACCTTTCTACCTCATCGGGCACTCAACAGCTTCCTAAAGTGCACATGCTCATCAGTCGAAATACTAATGCACTACTCCATCAATGAATGAGGTCCTGGAGAGCAGCCCGCCCAAGTCCACTTACTCTCATAACCTCTGTTCCATTTAAGGCTGCAACTGAGCCAAGTCAAGTCGAGTAGTGGGCTGTTTGAGCTCGGCACGATCTGCAGCAGGAGTGTTCGAGCTCGGCTCGAACTCGAATCAAGCCTCGGCTTCATTGTTTGAACTCGGCTCAACTGTGTTCGCCAAAAACTCGAGCTTGGCTCGAAATTGGTTTATATAATATATATATATATATGAAACGCACAAAACACACATACAAGAACACATCAAGAAGAACCCTAGACATCAAAATCTGAGATCCCAAAAAGTCTCTTATAAAATCTGAGATCCCAAAAGAGAGTAAGAACAAGAAAATTGGGGGTTCGGTAAGGAGTCGAAGGAGAGAAAGGCAAGAGCCCTAGACATCAGCACTGCACTTCGCATCGATCTTCTCTCAACAATACTCCACTTTCGTCTGTAAGAGATATATATATCGTGTGTGTGTGTGTGTGTGTGTGTGTGTGTGTGTGTGTAAGGAGAGAGGAGGGTTGAGTGGTGATGGACGAAGGCGGTGAAGCCACCGGTGGTAGATGGAAGGGATGCCGGAGGTAGAAGAGAGGGTAGATGAGGGAGTGAGATCCCGGCGACCGTTCTTCGTTGATGGTTGGGGATCGTTGCCTCGTTGGTGGTCACTGGTCAATGATGTGAGAGAGAGAACAGATTGAGATGGAGGCTGAGATATCGTTGCCCCGTTGGTGGTCACTGGTCAATGATGAGAGAGAGAACAGATTGAGATGGAGGCGTATTCTATCAACCCTAAACATAACATAAAAGGGTTTATATACAAAGACAAGAAAGGTGTATTTGCATAATAACCACAAACTCTATATAAAATTACAATATGGCCCCAACATAAATATATATCTACATATAAATGTGTTACATACAATTACAATCTGACCCCAACTTTTGTATATATTATAATTGGGTATGTGTGTGTGTGTATATATATATATATATATATATTATAATCGAGTATGTTCGTGAAAGCATTATCGAGCTCAGTTCGTGAACGGTTCATGAACAAACGAGTCGAGCATACTGATATTCAGGCTCGGCTCGTTTATGAATCGAGCCTCATAATTCGGCTCGAGCTCGGTTCATTTATAAATGAATCGAGCTCGAGCCGAGTAATTCACGAGCCGAGCCCGAGCAGTTTGCGAATAATGAACCGAGCTCGAGCCGAATAATTCACGAGCCGAGCCCGAGCAGTTCGCGAACGGCTCGGCTCGTTTGCAGCCCTAGTTCCATTCTCTGAAACCTACATTCCAAGCTGAGGCCCCTCCAGCCTATTATTCCTTGCATCATGGGTTAGACAACTCCGTTGGTTCACAGAAATAGATGGGACTTGCCGCCCTCTCCAACCCCTGCTTTTGGAAGTAAACCAAAAAAACTGAACTCGCGAAAAGAAGGGATGGCAAACAAGCAACTAAGCTAATTTAATCGAATAACTCCCCTCAAGATGACTTTTGAACGTCTACATTCATTTCCCAATAAACCAATCATTTATACATTGCATTCATACTGTTTCAGGTGATGGCACTATGCATAAATAATCCATAGAAAGTACCCACTAGAATAAATTTCTACTCACACATGCTGAATTGAAAGAGTATTCCAGTGGTTTTTGCCTGAAATCTGGTGCTGCTGCTGATCAGGCTTATTAACCAGCAGGATCTATCAAGACACACTGGACTTAAAAAATTGCTAACTATGACTAACCAGCAGCCAGCAGGATCTAGAAACATTAGAATACATGCAATTTAAACTGTTGATCACATTTACACTTTTGATGTGCAAGTTAGTCATGAATTTTGAATTATTAAGGAAGAAAAAAGAATGAGAGAATAACGACACGCAAATGAAATATGAAAACACAACTTCAAGTTAAGAGACAACCAAATATAAAACAAACATAACACAACATGAAGAACATATGAAAGAACAAATAATTCAAATGGAAAGCAAAAGCATACTTCAACCAGAAATATGAATTCCAACCTGTTATTTGAAATTGAATTAATATGGTAATCATGTGCATGAGCATATACCCTTCTACACCTGGCCACAAGGCTTGTTTCTTGACTGAGTACCTGCAGGTAGTACATTTTAAGTGCTACATGGAATCATATGGAGTGATCGAAACAATGAACAAAACAGAAGTTAATGGATATTCTTTTCACAGATAATTAGATATACAGATAAAAATGTAAACATAATAATTATTTTTTTTGAAAATAAAGTTATAATACAAGTACATATACAAGAGCCAAACACGACAATGTACATGTGATCACTTAAACTCAAAAAAGATGATATATAATGCTGAAACAAAGGTTGCAGGTTTTCTATAATGCAACCTGCATAAAAAGTTTTGCCTTTCTTTCGTCAAATAGAGGCAACACAAGCACACCTTGCCATAACATAGTGATTTATATATCATTTTTTTTCCTACTTTTTTTCATATTAATTTTTGTTTCTTTTCCCTTCTCTCACAACTTGGCCAGGTTGATTTGGGCAAAATTGAAATTGTGTCATCTATAAATGTTAATATCTAAACATTATTTACTAGAAAACACGGTTACTGTTTGAAAATAAATAAGGGTTGAGTACAACTACCATAGGTAAACGTAGAGATGGAATGCCCCCTGCTGGGAATGAAAAATCATTGCTCAAATAATTGTAAGATCTGTCAGGGTATCCTCCATTTGCAACACATTGTTTAGGACTGGAAGAAACACTTGAACTAGCTACACCACCATTCCCAACAGCTTTGGAAGGGTCTACATTCATGTCAGAAATTTTCTTCACCTTCTTTTCTTGGACCTGTTTAACTTGCAAAGAAAAATAGCATATAAGTCAGCAAGTGTAGGACATTTTTTTTTTTAATAAGTAAAATGTATTAAAAGCGTTCAAAAGGGGAACACGTCCTAAACTATACAAAGACAAAACAGAACCTATGAACTCAAAGAGCCCATGAAGTCAACAATCTCCTCGAGAAGAATAGTCTCTCCCCTGACCCCAACAAAAAAGAGTACAAATAATAGAAAATTTCAGCACCAAAATAGAGGACTCCTTCCCATCAAAAGATCTACTATTCCGCTATTTCCAAAGGCTCCACCGAATGCAAAACGGGATCACCCTCCAGAAAACTCGCACCTAGGCCCCCACCCATTGGCTCCTCCAAATATCCAATAACTCCCGGGCGGTTTGAGGCATGACCCAATGAATACCAAACAAGCCAAAAATCAAACTCCAACAATCATAGGTCACAGGACAATGCAACAAAAGATGATCCTAACTCCCCATTAATCTTGCAAAAGCAACACCGATTAACAATTATATGCCTTCGCTTCCTTAAGTTGTCCAAAGTCAAAATCTTACTCCAAGCTGCAGTCCACACAAAAAAAGCCACCCTAAGAGGCGCTTTAGACGTCCACACTGTCTTCCATGGGAATGTGGTACCATGAAAACCAGAGAGGCACACAAAAAATGACCGAACCTGGAACATCCCTTGAGAAGAAGGCACCCAAATCAAGGAATCTGCACTAGAACCCTCCACCTCCTGTCTATAAAGGAGAGCCAAAAACCCAGTGACATCATCCAACTCCCAATCCTGAAAAGCTCGCTAGAAGCGCACATCCCAAGACAGCCTTCCGCTATCAAGGTAATAGCAGTCAGCAACCATAGCATGTTCGTCAACAGCGATCCTGAAAAGCCTGGCGAATAAAAGAGCCAATGGCCTATCCTCGCACCATGAACCTCCCAAAACCGGACATTACTTCCATCTCGAACTCTGAATCTAATATGTTTGGAAAAGACATCCCACCCCTTTCCAATGGCCCTCCACACCCCCACTCCACTAGCAAGCCTGATTGGTCTAACTGACCATCCTCCTCTCTCCTCCCCAAAGCGACACGAAATAACCCTTCTCCATAATCTATGTCTTTCACTGCCAAATCTCCAAAGCCACTTGCCAAGCAGAGCACTATTGAAAGGGGCCAATCTCCTAATACCAAGCCCTCCCAACTGCATAGGGCTGCAAACTTGCTCCCATTTGACAAGATGATACTTGAATTCCTCTCCGCGGCCCCCCCACAGGAAATTCCGTTGGAGCCTCTCAATTCTTCCAACAATAGAGGCTGGAATCCGAAAAAGCGAAAGAAAGTACGTTGGGAGGCTTGACAGAGTACTCTTCACTAACGTAACTTTACCACCCTTTAATAAATATTGCTTTTTCCAACCAGCTAATCATCTCTCGACCCGCTCAATCACCGGGTTCCAACTTCCCACCCTCCTGGCCGAGTCCCCCAGCGGCAAACCCAAATACGAGATAGGAAAGCGTTGCGTCCCATACCCTAAAACAGCAGCCAGAGAATCCACCTCTTGAACCTCCCCCACAGGAACAAGCACGCTCTTACCCACGTTAACTTTCAAGCCAGAAATAGCCTGAAAGCAAACCAAAACACATCTCAGATACCTTAACTGGGACACCTCTGCCTCACAAAAAACGATCGTGTCATCCGCAAAAAGTAAATGAGAGATCTCCATCTGCTGAGCTGAGTCAAGGCCAATCTTGAAACCCCTAATAAAACCCATATCCACCACCCTTCTCATCAACCTACTAAGAGCCTCCATAACAATAATAAAAAGAAATGGGGAAAGAGGGTCCCCCCGCCTCAACCCACGAGAACTGCCAAAGAAACCCGAAGGAGACCCATTCACCAACACCGAAAACCTGACGGTGGAAACACATGAAACAATCCATTTCCTCCATCTCTCACCAAAGCCCATCCTCTCCAACAAATAGAACAGAAAATTCCAGCAGACATGATCATAGGCTTTCTCGATATCCAGCTTGCAAAGAACACCAGGAGTCCCACTACAGAGTCTAGAATCCACACATTCACTAGCAATAAGGGTGGAGTCCAGGATCTGTTTACCCCCAATGAAAGCATTCTGAGACTCAGAAATAACTCCATCAAAAACCTCCCTCAATCTAAAGGCAAGGACTTTTGCGATGAGCTTGTAAATGCACCCAATTAGACTACCAGGTCTAAAATCCTTGATATTAGAAGCACCACCCTTCTTAGGAATAAGGGCAATAAAAGATGCATTAAGCGATTTCTCGAACCGCCCCGTGGAATGAAACTCATGAAAGGTACCCATAATCTCATACCGAACCACCTCCCAGCTTTCCAACAAAAATCTCATCGTGAATCCATCAGGGCCTGGAGACTTATCACCATTGCAACTCTTTAACGCCTTCAGCACCTCCTCCTCCGAAAAAGGACTTTCCAACCCATCTCTTTCCAAGGCAGAAATAGAGTCAAAGTGTAGACCATCAAGCAGTGGCCTCCAATGAAGAGGCTCAAAATACAGAGATATTTTCAATTCAAATCAACACAATAAGTTAGCATTTAGCAAAGCGTCAAAAGCAACTGCTTGGGTCAACACACTTGAGGCTCCCACGAGTCCCACAGCATACTCATAGTAGGGACATCCCAACACAAAAAAAATCAGGATTTGTGCTCAAAGTGGGCTTGTAGTAATTCTCTATTGATGTTAATGGGTGTTTAGTTCTGTTACCCCTCGGTTTGTTGAGGGGGTTTATGTGCAAAAAACAAAAAAAAAAATTGAAGGGGGATTAATTGCCAATGCCTACAAATCAATGGGGGGATTTATGCAATTGGCCCTTTAATCAATCAATCCAAAATTGACTTTACAAACATAATCTCCAACCTATCCCTCTCCATGTAAAATCGAGTCTTGGTAATGAAACTGTTGGCTTTTTTGTACTCTTTGACCCTCAATCTTCACTATATACTCGCATGTATTTCTAGCTTTACTAAAGTTACATTACATGTTCTCTATTTTTCTTAAACCATTTTAATTCTTAATATTTTCACCCAACCCTAGATAAACACTTGCCTCTGCTTTAATTTTATCAATAAAAATAGGTTATGGAGGAAGGTTGTTTCTTGTCGGTTTGGGGAGGAGAGGGGGGGATGGTCAGCTAGACTGGTCAGGTATGCTGTCGGTTTGGGAGGATGATGGAGAGTCTGTGGATCGTCTTCTCTTGCACTGTCCCGTGGCTCACGACTGCTGGAGCCTTTTGTTGTGTCTTTTTGGTGTTCGTGTCTCTTTTCTTCTTTATCTTTTTGTCGTTTTTGTACAGCTCTTGGGACGCGTTCCCCTTTTGAACGCTTTCTAATACTTTTTTACTTATCAAAAAAATAATAATAATATCATAATCAACCTTTGCTTTAATTTCATTAATTAAAAATATAAAATAAGCCAATAGCATATATCATAAAACTTTGATTTGAATGTCTTTCGTCAATTCATTTATAATTAAAGCAAAAAAATAAGTACTTAGTGTTGATCTTGGATATAAACCTACAATATTTGAAAATTCACTTGTTTCTCCTGCAGTTCTTTTTTAAAACAATCACAATTCACAACTCAATCACACATTTCATTTCTCCTTCAGTTGTTTTTCTAAAACCTACCATTTTATATTTCTATGAACCTTCAAGTAGAGTTTCCCTATATATGTAAAAACCATACAGAAATCTTTCTCCTCTCTAAACCTTTCCATTGGCCTCCTCAAATAAGTAAATAACTTCTATTCGTGATGTCTTTAGCATAAATCTAACTTGATTTTCCAATACAATTTTTTCATCTTAATCACTACTCAATTATTCTCTATCGAAATCCATAGTGTGCTCAATAACAAAAATGCTTGCAACTCCCTCGCCTATTTTCTGAAACAGCATAGCCGGTAGAACACATTCCCAAAGGCATGTCCTAATATTTGCTTGGATATTTTCAAAATTCATGTTTATAGGACTAATAAAGGTTTATGAGGACTAGCAACCGCTTCTTTTCTTCAAACTTTAAGCCGAGTATGTGAGGAAAAAATATTAGGCTAAGACGCACAATGAATCATACAATAATGAGTAACTACAACAGTTTAATAGTTCTCGAATGTCATCACCCAGTCTTGCTCTTACCTACACAGGTTGTTAACAGGGGTAGACTGGAGACTAACCATGGAATCTATAATTCAAATATGAAAAATCTTCAAAAGGCTATAAAACAAACTAAATTTCCCACCTTCCAAAACTTTATGGTTTTATCATTGGTAGACAGAAGAAATAGGGCACCATTAGCTGTTTGGCACCATCTGATCTTGTTGATTTTCTCCTCAATCTCCAAGCTCTTGAGATAATCAAACTGAACACAAAAAGATGCAACTGCAGAATCAATTCAAACAATCCAGATCTAGTAAGCAAAAAGGAATGGCAGAAATGAATACCTCAGGTTCATGACTCTGAAACTCGGTCTTATAACGGAACTCTGGATGTCTACTTATGGGATAATCCATCCTCTCCAGATCTCGTTGACTTCCACCATGCTACACATTAAAATGTTGAAAAATATTACAATTTAGGTAGTCATCTGGACAGCAAACAAGAAACAGTAACACAAAATATGATGACCAGATTTAATAAATATAACTCCCCAAGAGTACTCACATTCTTTGTATCAGTCCTTTCAAATAATACTACCCTGCCCCCACGGTCACCAGTTGCAAGATGGTCACCTGTTCTATCAAATTCAATTGCAGATATGATATCAACTGCAAAATCAAACAACAATCAAGTTGAACAGATTAGGAATCCAGCTTAATCCCTGACTAGATACACTTATCAATATGATTTGTAGTTTATGTCCCCAAATTGGTTTTTGTAGCCAAGTACACAGTGCATTACAGTGAGTAAAAAATAGGAATGCAATATGATAAAACGCTTCATTGTTTTATAGATGGTTATCAAGTTCATCTTCCAATATATATGATGATTCCATGCAATCAGCCCCTCCAATATAAAATTAGCAGTCATCTTGCTTTTCTTTTATATGATTATTCATTCTACTTTAACCGGTATAAATGAATAAGTATATGACTGCAGCCCTTTTCCCAGCTTTTAACCCACCATAAAAAATAAAATAAAGGGAAATTTTAACTACCATTGGATCTCTAGCAAAGATCCAAACTGATGGATCAACAGTAAATATTTCTTAATGTGAATCATGGCTAGTACTGCACCAACTTTACTACGGAATGTCAGCTTGAACCCTTGGATGACGCAATAACAGAGAAGATTTCAACTCTCTGTTTAATCTCAGTCCTGATAGATGATCATATCGACCAACCAAATTATATATTTTCTGCATCCAGAAGTCTAATAGAAAAAATGTGCCTAGTGGCAACCAATGCTCACTCAACCTGTTTCCACAGAATATTATGTTTTCACCCATGAAAACCTGATCAAAGGATAGGGCGATCAATTTGGGGTTATACCACAAAGATTTATCCAACGGATTATAAAATGAGTTATTCCACTGAAATTTTGGGTACCTCTAGATCGGAAGGAATGTTCAGTTCCAACAACATTCCATTCCATTCTGTGTTATCCACTATAAAAGGCCATTACTCAGAATATCTCCTGCTTGCATAGGGTGCTAGGAGGGAATTCCGGTGACACACCTAACTTTTGGCATTATCCAATGTGCAAATCTTAAAGCCCATAAGAATAATGTAACCCATTTAGAGTCACAAAGCTAAAATTTCTGAATTTAATGCCCACAAAGGCACAAACCTAAATGCCCTTCTACCAACCAGCAAATACAACCAAGTGCTTCCCCATGTTCTTCAAGAACCAAAGTTTTAAGATATTACACTCTTTTTTATATACTAATCACACTCAGCACAACAACAATAAGACTTTTGAGATCATTAAATGTGATCCTACCACCAACATTAACTTGGTGCATGTCAACCACCAATAATCACAAAACAGGGTCAAAGCCGTATTTGGAATATTATATTCCACTATCAAGAACCAAACAAAAAATATAATATGAAAATGAGTCGTAGAAACTTCTAGAAACAAAAAACAGTAAGAAATGCACTCCATCGGTATTGGGTAGGACGTAAATAATACATTATAATAAGGGCTGTCTCAAAAGCCCAAATGTCTGCCTGCCAAATGTAAAATATAGCTACACACCCTTTTTTCTTGGAAGCGTACATATTATCTAGCCAATGAACTTAAAAGCACAAAGCACAAGTTGGTATACATGTCTTCAAGGGCGCAGGCAAGAAAAACTTATCTTAGGAAGGTCCATTGGTACAAACCAATTGGAAGAATCTGAACATTGAAATAGACCTTCAAAGAAAAGTGGCCTCTGATGTAATGCCAAAAACAAAAAATAAAGATAACATACAATACTACACATAACCAGGGTCATAGATGTTAAAGGAGCGCCTAAGCCCAAAAAATCCCAGAGAAGGCTCAATCGAACCACCCCAACTTACTATACACAAGACTCCTTTGGTCAAAAACACAAAACATCCTCGGACACACAATTCTTTACTTTTTATATCATTCAATTATTCAATGATATATTTTTTATTTACTTTTATTTAATTCCATTAAAAGATATGCCCCGTATTATACCATGATCATATTCGATAGATCGTACTTTTATAATCTTTGACAGAATTTATGGTTATTGTTAAGAACTTAATTCTTACTATATAAGGAAGTATAATAAAAAGACTACTACCAAGTGTCAATCTACCTACTCCTAATTGATGTACCAAAAGATTTTATTTCATGAGAAAATCTTGACTAGCTTTCGGCCACAAAAGATTTTATTTCTTGAGAAAATCTTGACTAGCTTTCAGCCACATATTTACAATAATTTCAATTTTTGGGAGGACTTTTGGTGTGGAGAATACCGCTCGTTCCTTTCCCAGACTCTTTAGGATTGACGCCAACAGACACGCCCGACTGTTATTGTCTAGATAATGAGAGGTTTACTTGGGATGTGCGATTTTAGCGACACTTTCAGGACTGGGAAGTGAATGATGTTTCTGCTTTTTTGGCGCTCTTATATAGGCAGGAACTGGATGGTGGAGGGTCGGACTCTCTCATTTGGGTTCCCTCTTCCCAGGGTAGTTTTGATGTTGGATCTCTTTTTTATTGCCTATCAAGTTTTTCAGGGACTGACTTCCCCTGGAAGGCAGTGTGGCGTTCGAAGGCTCCTCTCAAAGTGGCCTTTTTTGTTTGGACAGCAGTTTGGGGTAAGATCTTGATGCTTGATAGTCTGGAAAAAGAAGACAGGTTACTATGAATTGGTGTTTTTTGTGCAAGCAGGATGGGGAGTCAGTTGATCACCTGTTATTGCATTGCCCCGTGGCTCACCGCTCACAACTGTTGGAGTCTCATTCTTGGCTTGATTGGTGTCGAGTGGGTCATGCCTAAGTCTACGAGAGGATTGATTGATGCTTGGAGAGGTTGCCACGTGGGCCCTCACGCCCGAGCTTTCCAGAGAGTGGCTCCCTCTTGCGTGTGGTGGTGCATTTGGAAGGAATGGAGAGGAATCTCCTTTTCGGGTTTTCAAGTTCTCCATTGTTTGCTCCCTTTTTTGTTGGGTCATGGGGAGAAATTGTAAATCTATACAGGAAATAGTTGATTTTTTGGGATCTTTTAGTTCTTAGGGCCCTTTGGCTTTTGTCGCCTTGTATTTCCATGGTATGCGTTCCCCTTTTGAGCACTTTTCAATTCATTATTACTTATCAAAAAACAATAATAATTTCAATTGTAAATTGTTTTAATTGAATCCCCAAGCAAGCTGAAAGGACATATGTACAATGATTGTCTAAACCACTGACTCAATATGCTAAAAACATTTCATTTTGACATTGACTGGTTTGTCCTGTATATTTAATAGTTCTATAATACTATAATTCATAACCATTTCTATGATACACATGCCTTACATTGTTCTCTGCATTTAAGCTAGGTGCGGCAAATCATGTTAACGGGTCGTGCTCATGTTAGTATTTTGTTATATGTGTGAACCTGAACATGACCCATTTATTATTCGTGTCGGAAATCCTCGACACTTGAATATGACCCGATTATTACATAGGTAACACGACAAAACCATATAACTTGTTTAATATTAAATTAGACGTATGACCCGTGACATAATACAACCAATTTAATAACACATTTTATATTTTTCTTTATTTTCTGAAAAAAAAAAAAAAAAAAATCCTTATTATAAATTGCAAATATAACAAAACAATTATACATCAAATGAAAACTAAAGAAATGACTAAATTTTCCATTTCATCTTAATAAATTACTCAATTAACTAACTTAATTTTATAATAAACCATAAATTGACCAAAAAAAATAACCATATTGATTTAAATATGTTGGGTTAAACAAGTTGACTTGATATGTTTAGTTAAACAGATCAAATCGGGTTGAAACAAGTTGACACGACACAGTTAACTAAAGCGGTCAAATCATATTAAATAAGATGAGTCTCCAAACCTGAACACGATTAATTAAACAAGTTAATCGAGTCGACATGATTATGACACAAACATGACTCCAGTCAATCAAGACTCACTAATTCCGTTTTGGGTTCGAGTTGTGTTGACAAGTTGTTTCCAATTTTTTTTTCCAATTTAAGCACTATTTGATATGAATGGTGAAGAAGTAGATTGAAGGAAAGGTAGGATAGATGGAAGAGGTATACCTAGGAAAAGGAAAGAACATTTCCATCGTGTGTGTTTGGTGAACATGGAAGGATATGAGGAAGAAATGGAAGTGGTATTGAGTGATTTGACCATATACCCTTCGAGAATTAAAATTCATGTATTTGTGCATAGGTAAATATATATATGCATAAATAATTATATCATTTTATAAATATGCATATTTATATACTAAAATGCAATTGCAAACATTACATGTGACATACTCCCTTTCTGTCTCCCTTCTCTAAATTTTTGGGCAAATACAAAGTATAAGAGATGTTTTATCCCTCCCCCCTTACAAATTCCCCTTCCTTCCTCCTAACAAAATAGGCTTAGCTTCCAAGAGACCATGATGACTCAACGCACCTTAAGCTTTTGATAACTATGATTATGGTTTTCATACTCGTAAGAACCCAAATGTAGAATTAACGGCACTCCAAATTTGAAGTTTGTTCAAGCTTCCGTTGTCATCATTTACAGTAAATCTTCCATAGGATGACCTTGAAAGCAAATGTCTAGGTCCTAGGATGCAAAAGTACATGCCCCCAACTAAGAAATCTAAATTGTAGGAATATAGGGCTTGACCAATGACCATTATACCATGAATTATGATATTCCCCATCTATAAAACAATACTGCTGAAAAAAGCTACCTCATTTATCTATTACACTTGATAGCCAAATTGTCTATTCTAACAATTACTTTTTCTCACATCATGAAACCAATCATCCTGCCTCTCCCCTCTAATCTCCCCTTTTAAATATATACCCTTCCATATTATGCATTGCAAAATGGTGTGAATAAGACAAATAGGCAGGCAGCCTGGTACTCATGTCTATTATATAGTGGAGCCATTAATCCCTAAACCACTAATTTTTTGAATGACCCTAAGTTTCAATTCTTAACAAAATTAACTAGGTAAAATAAAGGTCTAACATATCATCTGTTGAAGGTGCTAGCCAGTTTAGCCAATAAGTTTTTAGGTAGTCTAATGATATACCTGGAATTGAATTGCCTTGATCGAGGTTGTGGGAGTTTACAGGTATGAGGGAGGTTACACTCCTTTTTTGTCGCCCAACTATTAGGTAAAAAAACATGTGATATGGATTGCCACAAACATAAATATAAAGTTTATCAGAACCCTCCCACACAGATACACAAATACACATATGTATACTAATCCTTGCAAGCCTGTTTTGTTTTGGAGTCAATTTGTACTTCAACCCAAAATGGTACGAGGTCTAGTATCTTACTTGGTGAAGAAACACATATATGCATGAATTGCACCATATTGCACCCAATAAACCTGTTATGTACTTTCAGGAAAGCAACACTAAATTAACGATCTTTGTTGTGATTAAACTCAAAATAACTTTACAATTCCCTCGAAATTCTAAAACCAGTGCATTTCAGCAACAAGTCCTACCACACCATCCAATAAAAAGATAAACAATTATAGAGATTTAAACGACAGTGTATTATATCAAACATTTAAACATAAAATACTACTTCAAGTACATGCAATTGAAGTACAACGTCGAACTAACAGAACTCCATAAAGTTCAGTCACATACTGTTCATTTCTGAATTCATTAATCATAACACTCGTTAAAATCCCAAACGAAGAATCACATAACATGCATAACAATATCAAATCCCATACTAAATCTAACTATTTTCCCTTAATCATCAATAAATCAACTAATAATACGACAATGAACGATCCGAAAATAGATCAAACTCACATAATCAAACCCTAATCGAGATACATACACCAATAAAACAATGGATCCAAAGAGGTCAAAGCCAGTATCAGCGTAGTACCTTCTTGAACTTCTTCACCGGCCGTCCGTTCACCGAATACCTGAGAGAATTTCCACTCGAGCGGCGTTGGTGGGCCCGCCGGAGCTTCCTCCACCTCTCCATCGCCACTGTTCATTTTCCAGGGGACGAATCAACGACCGAAACACACCGCCAAATCAGCCAAAATCAAATCACCTGCATCAATCGATCGATTGAGGTTTCGAGCCTTCGTCGGAAGATCGTGGTTTCGAAATCGCCGAGAAATGCATGAAAAAATGTTGGATTCAGATTCAACCATACGAAGTCTGAAAAAATGGATTCAAACAAACACACACACTCTCCCTCTATGCGTAGTGTGATGATGAAAATGGGATTTGGAGTAGCAAACCGTTCTTTGCCTTCGATGAAGCAATCACTGTTCTCTCTCTCTCTGTCTAAGCTCTATCTATCAATAATCACTCTCTCTCTCTATCTCTCTCTCTTTCTCTCTTGTTTTTTACTATTATTTTCTGAAGAGATGATATAATAACTGGTGTAAGAGATTCTCAGGTCACCTGCAGCGAGAAAGCATGTGGTGGTGGTGTGATCTTATTGGTGGATTTTGTGATTGGTATGACAAAGGGTGAGATTAGTAAAATTTATCAAAAAGGAAATATAGAAGAGTAGTTCTGTAGAATGACAATTATGTAAAAATAAAAATATAGTTGAGTTTGTATAAAAAGACATTTATGTTGTGTCTTTTCATTTTTTACTTTGCTAGGTGAGGGACAAGATTTCTCAACACTTTGGCTTCACTTATTTAGTAAACAAATGGAGATAGGTTTTATTTATTATTTATTTGTCAAGAGTTTAATGAAGTTAAGCCAAATTTTCAAATAAATAATTTGAATCTTGCCCTAACTTGATCAACTAGATTCATTACAATGACTTTTGTAATTTTTAAAAAATATTTTGACAATAAATTCATACGCCCATATTTTTCTAGTAAGATATTCAACTATGAATCTTAAATAATTCAAATAGTGTCATAATTCGATGAACTAGGATCTCTCTCTCTTTTTCTTTTTTTCTTAAATAATTTGAATACTGCCATAAGTGTAGAGTATCAGCTCCCCGAGTGAGTGTGCTCGTGTTCGAATCCCCTCTCCCTTAATTTATCACCAAAAATAAATAAATAATATTAAGTGTTGAATTATATATTTAATAGAAATTACATCCTTGGTTCCTCTTTTGTTCCCATGACTTAAATAACCATGCTTGTTCAACTCTCTTTGTTACATGGCTTCCCACTATTTTGGGCTGATCAAGACCTTTAAAAATAAAACCAACAAATTGCTCACTTATGAACCCAATGTCAAGGGCCTTAAATTGGTAGCCTTCAAAGATCATGTGTTAATAGAGTCCGTGAAAGAGAAGAAATTGGGCTTGCCTACTCACAAATTGTTGGGCTCATATTCAAATTGAACCAATCCAGTCTACTATTGATCAATCCATTTAACTGCCAAAACACATATGAGAGGAAATAATTGTATTTGCAAAATATCACAAAAGCCTGATTTTGCAGCTCTAAAGTGAGGTTAGATCCTTTACTCTTACAGCATAACGCGGGGTGGCCACGATGGCTTACACATGTGAGTAATTATGACAATTCACTGCCCGTTTCCACATATGAGTAATTATGATCGTTCATTGTAATACAACGTAAGTGTTATATTGCACATGATTCAAAGTTAGATCAATTATTTTTACAACATACATATAGCATACTGTAATGGTGAATAGGCATGACCATATATTTACACGTGTGAGTGAGTAATTGTAAATGTCAATTGTGATACAATACAAAATGTTGTACCGTAAAGGATATCCCACATGTGAGTAATTGTAAATGTCAATTGTGATACAATACAAAATGTTGTACCATAAAGGATATCTCATTTAATTTTATCGGAACAAGGACATAAAACCATTGAATGAGACAATAAAATTTTAAAATAGTGGATGTTGTTTATATATAAAAAAATTCTTCTTATATATAGCATGTGTATGGCCCCTATCTCTCACAATACATGCACCATTCAAGTCAAGAGTGTGGTTCGAAAGCAAAACCTTAAGTATTTATCTCTCGGATCCTGCTAAGGCCACCATGCCCACAAAAGGGGCGGATATTGTTTATATATGAGGGCATAAATTATATATATATATATATATATTACTTTTGTTTGGTAAGAGACCTATCTCGACAAGCTGAGTGTGCCTCCACATGCAAGTAACAATAAAAAATTGCAGACTGGCCCTAATTAAATCTAGTAGATATAAACCCTAGATGATGAAACATCTTCTTTATATATACCTTTGACAACCATCTGGTGTTGGTGTTTTCTCTCTGGACAACGTGCCACAATGTGGAGTATTATTGCACATGGCTTCCACATTTGGCCAAACTCAACATAGCCTAAGTTGCATGACCAATACTGAACAGGATCATGTATTATATACATGCCTTTATATATATATATATATATATAATAAACAGGCCTGTGTATGATAATGCAAATGAGGTCATCTGTCCAAAATAGCATTGTGAGAAAATTAACTCCAAAATTATATCATCATGTTACCATATTAAAATGGTCTCCCTAAAAAAAAAAATTTAATTCAAGTAGAAAATTCCAGAGCCATTTAAATAATATAGCTCTATATTTGGCCAAATTAAATACTCAAAAACAAATATAGCTTAATTTTGTGATTTATATAATAAATGAATTCTGATACAAAAATCTGACTATAATAGCTTAATTGCGTGATTTACTCGGTTGTATTCAAGCTTATAAATAGTGCTTTTGTTTATTAATTGCTTATCATTTGGGATTTAATTTCTGTGCAAGTTTTTTTCCTTTTTTCTTTTTGTCTTTTCTTCTTTTCCCGATAAATAATTCGCGTGCAAGTTTGTTTACAAGTGCGCAACTAATGGACAAAATGGGATAGAGGACGATGAGAAATTTGAATCAAAGACCTACTAGACATGACTGTATGGTCAACGACGTGCATCTATATAGATTTATGTATATTTAACTTTCACGTGGTAGATTTTTTTTAAAATTTTTTTTAAAAAAATATGTATATTTATTAAGGGTATGTTTGATATGCGTTTTATTTTTAATATTTTTATTTTTGTTTGATATTGTAATAGTAAATAGTGAAAAAATGTGTTTGATAAAAATTATTTTATTTTACACAATGTCGAAATAGTTCATAAATAGTAGCCAAAAATTGAACATCAATTGGTATTTTTATATGTTTTCCCACTATAGCGTTTGGTACTGTAGAATGAACAGTAAAATGTTTTTTTTAAAAAAAAAAAAAAAAAACTCTTAAATGATATTTTAAAATTAACGATTATATTTTTCAAACTTACAACATGTTTTTTTACCAAACATGTTTTTATTTTTCACTTCTAAAAATCTTGTAACAAATTAATATTACCAAACATTGCTACTGATTGATATTTAAAACACTCTACAACAAAATAAGTGTTTTGTTTTAAGTTAAAATAAAACGCGTATCACACATCTTAAATTTGAAGAAATTTTTAAATGATCTAAGAATATATTATTTCGTAATAAATAAAAAATTAAATAAATTTAATATATTTAATTGTGTGACAATTTATAATTGACCAGAATCAGATGATTTGAAATCTCTAGTTGTGACCTGGGATATATTTAATTATGGGACAATTTATAATAGACTAGAATCACATTACTAATGGACAAATAATTCGCGTGCAAGTTTGTTTACAAGTGCGCAACTAATGGGACAGAATGGGATAGAGGAAGATGAGAAATTTGAATCAAAGACCTACTAGACATGACTGACGGTATGGTCAACGATATGCATCAATATAATAGATTTATGTATATTTAACCATTTTTTTTTTTTTTTTTAATGACCCACAACTTCATGAAACAAGGCCCCTTAAAGATCCTATTCCATGACGTCAAACTAGGGGTAATGTAGCACAGTTCCATAGTCACACATCGGATGAGTTGAGAACATAGAAGGCTTGGGAGGTTCGAACACTAGCCTGTGGAGTGCAAGCGCTGAGCTCCTACCATCACTGCTACGCCCCGGGAGTTATATTTAACTTTCACGTCTATAAATTTTTTTTTTTTAATTTTTTTTAAAAATATATATATTAAAGATATGTTTGATATGAGTTTTATTTTTGGTGTTTTTGTTTTTGTTGGATATTGTAGCAGTGAATAGTGAAAAAAATGTGTTTGGTAAAAATTGTTTTATTTTACACAGTGCCGAAACAGTTCATAAATAGTAGTTAAAAATCGAAACACCAATTGGTCTTTTTATATGTTTTTGCACTGTAACGTTTGGTACTGTAGAATAAATAGTAAAAAGTTTTTTTTTTTAAAAAAACAAAAACTCTTAAATGATATTTTAAATTTAACGATTATATTTTTCAAACTTACAACATATTTTTTTACCAAACATGTTTTTATTTTTCGCTTCTAAAAATCTTATAAAAAATTCAAAACACTCTACAACAAAATACGTACCAAATAAACCCTAAATTTGAAGAAATTTTTAAATGATCTAAGAATATATTATTACGTAATAAATAAAAAATTGAATAAATTTGACATATTTAGTTGTGTGACAACTTGTAATTGACCAGAATCACATAATTTGAAATTTCTAATTGTGACTCATGATATATTTAATTATGTGACAATTTGTAATCGACTACAATCACATGACTCTAAATCTCTAGTCTCTATACAATGTCAAAGGTGTGCATTTTTTATTTACTACCATCTCCGTTCTATATTAAAAATTCACTTCGAAAACTATATTAAAAGTCCACTTCCAGATCTGTGCTGAGTCACAACTCCTTTAATATGAAGAAAAAACTATTTTCATTAAAAAAAAAAAAAAAAAAACATTATCTTTACATCGATCTCGGCCTCCATATATATATATATATTTATATATAACGAACCAAAAAAAAGTATGATATACAAACAACCTACGTAAACCTAATGAACCAAATATATATATATTTATATATAACCAACCAAAAAAAGTATGATATACAAACAACCTACGTAAACCTAATGAACCAAATATATATATATTTATATATAACCAACCAAAAAAAGTATGATATACAAACAACCTACGTAAACCTAATGAACCAAAAATGGTGGTAGCACGAGAATTCCATTGAGGTTGATTCTGACGCTGTGAGGGACACACGCAATTAACAACCCATCACCCCTTTGTTTTCTTTTTGTTTTTCAACTTTATATTTTACATTCCTTCCCTACGCATGTACCAGAACAGAAAGCAGCCAGCCGAAATTTGGGCACTTGAGTTCCACAAAATTGATTCACTTGCCCCCAATTGATGTAACTTCTTATTTAAGGTATTGGGAATTTTTAATTTATATGATATTTGCTTTAAAAATAAAGAATATTTCATATTAATAATAAAAATAATAAATCTTTTCTTTGACCTTTTTTTCGGTGATATGGTGCTTTGGATTGGATTCTTTAGTTCTGAACTCTTTTCTCATCAAGTGGATCAACTGTTTCAATGAGGACCCATTTGCAACTCTGGATATCCATATTCTTTTCTCATCAAGTGGATCAACTAATTACCCTTTTTTCACATCCATTTTCATTGTAATCTTAGGAAAATGACACTCCACTTCATTTACTTCCAATAACCAAAATATAATAATTTTGCTTTGAATCAAATGTCACGGAATGGAGAAGATAGGCAATGTGCTTAATGCAGACCATCACAACTGTTTATATTTACGCATGTTATGTATACGTACATGATACGAACAATTTATGATATGTGTGGTGCACAGGGTGCATTGAATATTTTGTTCATAAAATAGAACAAAATAGATAGATAAATATGTCTTAATTGTCAAAGAAACACAAAAGAAAAGAAAGGAAAAAAAAAAATCTCATGGACTATCATCAAACCTTTGTTTCTTTCATCACATAATTTCATCAATTCTCATATTATTTTAATGTGCTTAATTCTTCAATCTACATTGTTGAATTTTAATCAGGTAAGAGTGCAAAAAAACTCAATAACTATTATGTAATTGTAAGATGACTATTTTTCATTGCAGATTAGCCTCTAAACTATAAAAAATTCGCATCTTGACCCCCTTTAAGTCACCAGACTTCAATTTCTGACACTCAGAGGGTTGAAATTACTTATTTACCTTCACTTATTAATTTAATATACAAGTTATAAAATATCAAAAGTGTAAGTTCAGGAAAAGGAAATACCAAATAAGCCCTTAATTTTTGTTTCTGGTCATTAACTTTTGCCTAATAATAATAATGATGATAATTTGAAAAAAGAAAATACCAAACAAGTTCCCTAAGAGCAAAAGTGTGTTTGAGTTGTTTGAAAGAAAAAAAAAAAAATCATTTTTATTCTTCTTATTTTCCTTAAAAAATAAAATAAAAAATTCCTCTTTTTCTGAGTTATTTCTTAACTGCAGCCAATGTCCTTGTGACATAATGTCATAGTGGTATATCTTCTTACTTTCAAGAAATTATTAGATGTTTATGATCTATTTAATATTTAGTGGACTAATTTATATTAATAGCCTCTCCTGAATCCATTTTTCAAATTTGAGGTGGTCTCACCAAGTTTTAACGATTTAGAACTTTAAATCTATCTAATAATTTCTTAAAGTTCCAAAAGAATAAAGTGGGAGTGCAAGTCTGGTGTACATTTATTGCAAATGAAAATATATATATTCTGCACTGCAACAATTTAATACTGTTTATAATTAGAGGCGTGCGAAGCCAAATTACCAAAAAGAAGCCGCCTTAGAAAAAGAGATGAGAATCGCCGACAGGACCTGATCGGAATATTCCATGCCCTAAGTAGCTAGGAGGAAAGTGCGTATCCGAGTTGTAAAGTGAGAATTCAATTCTGTCCGAATATTCCCTCATATTCCCGCGTTTATTTATTATCCAATCACAGATTCCCAACCGTCTGATGGCTTTCATAATCAAAGGTCCCCCAAATCAAATGGCAAACAACCAAAAAGGCTACCATAATAGGTTATCTCGTGCCGTGCCAGATAATGACACGTTCTGGAGTGGCCATCTGAAAATAGGAATTGAGTGGCCCATCTTTAATTTACCACAAACTCTCAGGTAATATTCCATTGGCATCTAAAATCCACAACTGTTATGCTTCACATTCACATGCACCCATACATGTATACGTATATCTATATATATATATATGGACCCTAGTCTCGGTGGTGTATATCCATCAATCAAAACCAAGATTTCTTGTGTGAGAAAATTTAAGGGTAGTGTTTGGAGTGCGAGAAATTTTTTTCTTTGATCATAGAAATGGCTGGAATTGTGGTGGTTTTTGACTTCGACAAGACGATTATCGATTTGGATAGTGATAACTGGGTTGTGGACGAGTTGGGTTTTACCGACTTGTTCAATCAGCTTCTCAACACCATGCCTTGGAACTCTCTCATGGTTAGTTCAGTTTTCTATTCACAACCCTTTCCCGAGAAATTAATTTCAATTGCACATATATATATATATATATATATATATATATATATATATATAGATGTATCTGATTAATGTATATCAGTATATGTCTGGTTTCATGCATGATAGAGAGTTCCCTGATTTTGGTTTCTGATGATATTGAATCAAAATGCTTTCCACTAAAGGTTCTCTGTTTTTTTTCTTAGCCATTTTTGAATTTCATCAATGTAATTATAAAATTTTGTTTATTTGTATTCACTTATTTACGAAAATTTATTATTATATTAGTAAAATTCACCGCATATTCAAATTTGTTTGATATGACATTTTAGTATTTCTGGTCTTCATTTGATATGACATCTAAGTATCTTTGAAAAAAATATTCAAGGATAAAAGAATTTTCGTTGAAATTTGTCTTTTTCCAAGTCTCATAGTATTCTTGGAATACCAAACCAAACAGGTCCTTAATTTTTGTTAAAATTTGTTTACTATGGTGAAATATGTATTTATGTTTATACAAGTTTATATGTCTGTGTGCATATATATATTGAATTGCTTAGCAGCGACTAATTGGAAATGCTCTGTTATATATATATATATATATATGTGCAGGATAGGATGATGAAGGAGCTTCATTCACAAGGAAAGACCATCGAGGACATTGCAGAGGTACTAAAAAGGGTTCCAATCCATCCCCGGGTCATCCCAGCCATTAAATCAGCTCATGCTTTAGGGTATATCTCTCTCACACTCTTTTGCCTAGATTTTCTTTTTCCCGGTTTGTTTTCCTGGAAAATATATTCAAAATATATTCAGGGTGTCAATGGGTATCTTTGCAGGTGTGATTTGAGGATAGTAAGTGATGCAAATCTCTTCTTCATAGAGACAATACTGAACCATCTTGGGCTGAGGGATTACTTCTCTGAAATCAACACGAATCCGGGCCTTGTCGATGAGGAAGGGAGGCTCAGGATTTCCCCTTACCATGATTTCCATTCCTCTCCTCATGGCTGCAATCTCTGCCCTCCAAACATGTGCAAGGTGATTATTGTTTTATCCCCTTTATTTTTAGTTTTCAACCACACAAAATTCAAGTTTGTGTGGTTACACCACGTGCCTAAAATTTTCACCTCACCCTACTCATAGTTATGATAGGGAGTCCGACAATGGGGATTGTTTTGATGTGAGTCCTAAAATTTTCACCTCACCCTACTCATAGTTATTAGTTATTCTTCACTCACGTCAAAACATCAAAACAGTCAGAGTTGTCCGATTGTTGGACTCTAAATGGGTTTTTTATAGAGAAATCTTAAAGTGTTACGAATTCTCATGCTTCCATCTTCGAAAATGATGGGTGGGCTTTTCATCATATCCTCTCAAGGAAGCTAGTTACTTAGAAAAACCTTACGCCCATATTTAAATTTCAATGATGCATTTTGAATTGAAATGCTAAAGAAAAGCCCCTAAGACTTTTGTATCCTTGTAGTCTCGAGTATCAAAAGGTGTTAGCTTTGAAGAAAAGATTGCCATAAAATTGCAAGATTTAGCTAACTGTACATGATTTTTTCTTGACAATGGGGATTGTTTTGATGTGAGTCCTAAAATTTTCACCTCACCCTACTCATAGTTATTAGTTATTCTCCACTCACGTCAAAACATCAAAACAGTCAGAGTTGTCCGATTGTTGGACTCTAAATGGGTTTTTTATAGAGAAATCTTAAAGTGTTACGAATTCTCATGCTTCCATCTTCGAAAATGATGGGTGGGCTTTTCATCATATCCTCTCAAGGAAGCTAGTTACTTAGAAAAACCTTACGCCCATATTTAAATTTCAATGATGCATTTTGAATTGAAATGCTAAAGAAAAGCCCCTAAGACTTTTGTATCCTTGTAGTCTCGAGTATCAAAAGGTGTTAGCTTTGAAGAAAAGATTGCCATAAAATTGCAAGATTTAGCTAACTGTACATGATTTTTTCTTAATAGGGTTTGATTATAGAAAGAATCCAAGCTTCCATAGCTAAGGAGGGGAAGAAGAAGGTCATCTATCTCGGAGATGGAGCTGGCGATTTCTGCCCGAGTTTGAAGCTGAAAGAGGGAGACTATATGATGCCAAGGAAGAACTTCCCGGTCTGGGATTTGATATGCAAAAATCGCACGCTTGTGAAGGCAGAGATCCACGAATGGAGCGATGGGGAAGAGCTCGAACTCGTCCTGATTCAACTTGTCACCAAGATTTCCATGGAAGAGAACTCTGCTCAGCTGTTCTCTGTTGATTGCAAGTTCCAGACAATTCCCATGTCTGCCCATGAAGCCTTCCCTCAGGCTCTCCCAGTTCCCCATTAGAAGAAGTTAATAGTCTTGTTGCGCAACACTAAACCTAAAAAGCACTCAAAAGTTGTTTTTCTTCTCTCTTGTTTTCTCTAAGCTATAGGAATGAAATTGTACGCTTAATCATCAGCTGTTGATCAAAATTAGATCAACAAGAAATATAGATATCAGTTTGCTCTATTCTATCTCTATCTGTCTTTCCATCTATATACATACATATATATATATATATATATATATATATATATATATATTTATATTTATATTTATATATTTGGTTGGTAATATTACAGCGGTCCTAATCATAATCATCCATATGATCGGCCACTAAATTTTGGTTGGTTTCTTTTTCGTTTACCGGTTACACAAACAACTCTTGTATCATGGGGTCTACATTGAATATTACATCAGTCTTAATCTATAATACACAATGGGGCATCAATTCTAAGAGTTGACTTCTTATAGACACTGCCTCTAGCTGGTACTAATTTTGGGAAATAATGAACTAGCAAGCCAACAAGTTTTGTAAATGATAAATGCACTTCTTTATTGTAAAAATAAATCTTTTCTGGACAATAAATATATCCCTAATACATTTGATTAAAATAAAACAGGACTGCGAATATAGGGTCCGTTGAACAAATTGTTTACTTCTCTATTTCACATTAGCAACCAAATTTTCACCTTTCACTGCCTCACCATCAGCAATTCTCCCATCAAAGATTATCCAAATGAAGGAGAGCATGGGGCAATGCATGGATTGAGTTTATGTTTTTTTTTTAAAATTTTTGAAAACGAGTACTAAATTAGGTTTCTATTTTATAGTTGCGAATTCCAGAATTAAGAGAATACACACACACAAGGAGTGGGTGAAGGTCTTGACCCTCTCCTCTATGTGATAGAATTGAGATGAGACAAGAATAGTGCGAGTTGCACAAGGCGGGATGGTTGTGGAACAAAAGTACTGATTAATACTAATGGGGGTAAATAGATTCGCCATTTTACTTGATTTTTGCCCAATGTTAATTTTACCAAAATAAAACTAAATTAATAACTCACAAAGCAAAAATAATGTGCAAGTAAAGTAAAAAAAGAGTTGGAAATCCTAGAGAGCGAGGAAATCCTAACTAGAGAAAATTATTCAATTATAGGGAAAAACCTCGGAGACTGTCACGTGATTTCGAGCGAAAAGATCCACTATAGCTGAAGTAAAGTAAAATAGATTTCGACTAAGACTCACACGCTTTTCACTCTACCAAAAACCAGTTGTTGAACCTCTTCAACTTTGTGTCTCCCTCATCGAAATGCACTCGACTTCGGGCTTACTCTCTTAATCCCAATATAAGGAGTGTTGGTAGATCAGCAAACACTGTGCGAATTCTCTGACCCTTCAAAGTGTAATCTCTTCCTTATTTTCTTCAAACTTGAATTGTTGAAATTGAAAGAACAAATTTGCTTTGACGATCGGTAGCAATAGATATTCGATTGGCACAAACTTTGATCAATAAGAGAATCACATCCTAAATCGCTCGCGTGTAGTATGTGTGTTCTCAATATAAAAAATAAATGTTTTTTGCAAAATCTCACAATAGCCCTATAGCTCCGCTTGCACGTTTAATTCCGTTTTCGATATCGAAACTTAAATGTACATTACAAATTATAATTCGACTAGTCAGGTTTTGACACCAAAACATATCAATTACAAAATATATACTTAACAAATAGAGTTTCATGGAGTGATACATCTCAGTAGGTATTAGCCACACAAATCCCGGAGGACCCAAGTGATCCGGCGGCCTTGAATCCTTGATGGCGGCTAGCAGTTTTGTTGGTCTGATCGCATAAGCTTAAAGTCAAAAAGTGTAAGCCAATGTGACTTTGAGTCATATTTGTTGTTTCTAGTCATATTTGTTGTCTGATCATGTCATCTAAACCAAATCTTTAAAGCAAGCCAATTGCAGAATATGCAAGGATATTCGGATTAGATTCATTATGCATCTTTTCTTTTTAAATGGCCCATGACCAAAACTGGCTTTTTATGTATGATTCACATTAAACATTTTCAATGACCAAAGATCTATAATTCTCTGTAGAAAGTTTCATGTCTTAATCAATTCAATTTCAAGTAAAATTTTGATTACTTCTCCCATTTGTCCCCGATTTGGGTTTCAAAATTTGAACCCATACAACAAATATGACACGGAGGCATTGTTTGCACACTTTGTGACCCTTCCAGTTCGTGGGCTTGTCAGACTCCTTGACCCAAATTCAAATAAAATTCAAATGTAATAAACATATTAGTTTGAGTAGGTCGTGCAATACTAAACCAAAATATGTCTGTGATATTGTTTAGTTAATTGTGAAGAGGCAAAAGGAGGTCTCTCTGTTTATTTTGACCTAAAATATTTTTATTAAAAAATATTTTCTTTTTATTCTATATATATATATATATATATATATATATATATATATATTATTTTTAGGTGTTTAATAAAAACTTATGTCGAGGTTGAGATCCAGTCCATCAAATGCATCATTATATTGCTTGCTCCTATGAATTTGCTTACATAAGCATTGATATGTGGACACTCTCTGATTCTCGATCTAGAACTAAACCTACAAGCATTTTCATTTTAACTTCTCTCTTTAAATCTACTACTCCTATATCTCTCTGTGCAAAATTTTGAGAAAAATAGAGAAAGGTTTTCTTTTCCTTTTTCATTGAATCTATAAGAAGACTTGGTTACTTGTTATATTAATTGTGTAAAAAATCTCATGTTTGTTTGCTTTTCCTAAAACTGTGGAAATATGTCTCCTCGTGCTCATTTCAATCTTCATACTGTACTTTGTTACTGGACTTCTAGGAATTTTACATCACTCTTAACGGTGGTATTAAGAGAAGTGGCCTTCACCAAAGGGTTATAAAAAATTTAAAATTTGTTGAAGATTAAAACATATCACGATTTCTTAAACAACAGAGATAGGAAATATGATGATCATCGACAATACTTGTTCAAACAAAATTGATGTGAAATATGAAAAGAAAAGAAAAAAAAAATCTTGATAACAGTCATAATTACTTACTTAAATAAGAGAGATTGGCCTACTGCCGAAATAAGTCGAAGTTGAAGCTGATCCCAAGGCCCAGTCAGTGAGTTCATTTCCTCCATATTCAACCTCTTCATAAGTAGTAGATATTCCATGTGACCTTCTAATCCCTTCCAATTTAATTGCAACTTCTTTTATTGTAGGCCTTTTTCTCCCGCTCAAGTTCACGCATCTTTTTGCAAGATTAGCGGCCTGCCTGATCTCCTCTTTCCCACCCTCTTTGGAATTTCGAGCATCAAGAATGACAAATAAACAATTCTCCTTCATTTCCAATTTAAAATGTGTTGCCAAACTTCACCATTCTTGCGATATAGCTGATGAAATTGGTTTTTGTCATGTTAAGAGCTCAACAAGAACTACTCCAAAGCTATAAATATCACTCTTTTCTGTAAACTGACTTGATTAGAAGTATTCGGAAACCAAGTATCCAAAGGTTCCTATACTTTTGTGGTCAAATGAGTTTGATCAATGGCAATTGATTTGAAGTCCCTGATACTTTTGCTTTAAATTTCTATCCAACAAAATGTTTGTAGATTTGACGTCTTGATGATAAATAGGTATGGAAGCTGCTGAATGCAAATACATAAGAGCCCCTGAGACTTTTGTAGCAATCCAAACACGAATATTCTAGGCAAGTGGGAACACTTCATTTTGCTCATGGATGCACTAGTAAAGGATTCCATTAGGGATGAATTCATAAACGAGAACAGAAACTTCTAGCTCCAAACAACACCCATGCAGCTTAACCACATTCTTATGGTTAATTTGTGATAGAATAACAACCTCATTAATAAATTGTTCAAGTTTGCCTTCATCCACTATCTTGGACTTTTTAACCGCTACAATTCTACCATTAGTCAGCATTCCCTTGTATACAGTACCAACGGGCCAGTGGTCTAACTGTATCAGCCTCTTACTTCCCAAAGGGAGATCAATGATTTAAGTCTCAGAAGAGACATGTGTGTGTGTGAGTACCAACTAGAAAAAAAAAAAACAGTACCTTGCCCTCCTTCACCAATGATACGGTTCACATTAAAGCGGTCAGTGGCCTCTTCCAACTCCTTTAAAGTAAATTTGTTTCTTTCAACATTACCTTGATCTCTCAAAGACAATTGTTGTTTCAATAACATGCCCCAATTTTGTTTAAAGAATTTTTGTTTAAGCATAAGCTTCCTCCTTTTTCGCATTAGTCTATACAACCACCATGTAGCAATAAGTAGAAGTGGTGTCCCAAAGTTTGTACTGATACCTGCAAAATTCATAGGAAAAAAGCCACTTTGTCGACCTAAACAATTGGTGCTTGAATAAAATTAGTCCATTCCTCTCGAAATATCCATTTTGGGACTCCAACTTCATAAGTGAATATGTGTCGACTATATTTGTAATTTCAAAATCAACAATTTTAGATTGATTCAACCCCATGGATTTGGCTCAAGTGAGTAAGTCACTTGGCTCTCGTATCTAGGTTTAAGGTCAACTAGGTGAATGAGGATATTATATATCCAAGCGTTTCTTTTGTGTTTGTGTGTGCGAGAACTGAGAAGGGGCATACCTATGATAACTCCTCTGTTATTCCTGTTATTGTCCACTTCACTGTTGCACAATATCCACAAATCACCAGGTGGACCATAACTTTCACAAATTTCACAATTAGACGAGCGTCTGCTTGGTGAACAATGATCAATGGCTGATAAGCAAAATCAAACAGAAAAAGTACTTAAAATTAAGTTCCTAACTGATACAAAGTATACAAAAGTACTTTAACAATGTCCGTGCAGGTACAGCAGATGAGAAGAGGTGTGCAATTAATATATCATGCTTATTACAGAATTTAAGTTCATTTACCTTGACATCCAGATGGCAGATATGGGTTTCTATTGAATATTATGGCTCAAATTACCAACTTAGCAAATAGTATAGATCATCCATTACATCAGCAATTTGTCTTTCCAAGGTGCATAATCCAGAAGCTTTTTGGTGCCAGCTAAATCCATGTGTGATCAACAAGTAAATATCCGTGATCACCAAGCTGATGTTGATGACTTTTGGCTATAAATAGCCATGAAACTCAT